AGATATGAAGCGATTTTAATCTTATAGTTTAAGGGAAGATAAAGAGTGTATACATCTACGCCATTGTGATCGATTCTGAACCATGTCAACCAGAGTCTCCAACCATTGGTTACGATAGTCACGCGGACTCCATCTCAACCGTTGTTGCTACCTTGACGTGGTGGTTGGGCTTGCCTATCGTGATAAAGCAACTGGGCTGTGCTGGCTGGAACAACTGTTCCTCAAGGTCCTACCATGTCAGACAGGTCGGTTGAAGACTAAAAGCAACAAACCTAAGGTCCGAAGGCGAAGTCGTACTGCTGACTGTATAGGGGTGTGACAGCAGTAAAGTGTTTCCTTCAGACAACCAGCATGACAGCGATTCTGCCTTCCTACAAGGAGGGATGGGATTAGAAAAGGTCGACCCTAAAAATGTCACACCTCACCTTATCTCACGAATATCCGTCTCCGGTGCTAAGGTCTAAACAAGTACGGAGCTAACACAAAAATTACCCACGGAAAGGTCGTGTGTGGCCGACCACAAGCAGTTGTCCCTTGGGCACTCCGGTCATGCTCTCAGGTCACTAAGACCACCTCTAATCCAATTTTCTTTTCAGGTACCTCTAGAAGAACCCTTCCACAGTGAGAGCAACCGGGAAATGATAACCGTCCTCATACATCTAACAACACTCAAGACCACTGTACTTTTATATATCTACAGATAAATATGTCTATAATTTGTTGAATTGTCAAAAAGTGGTTAACAAACCTAATGTTCTATATCTATGTCTATTGATATATAATGTCAACTTTATTTATTAAAGGGTTAATTCTGTATTTTTCCTTTAAATTAGTTTATTCGATGGAAATAATTGATGTCTAAAATTTGTATTTCTGTTAATAAAACATATAACTGATTAAAGCTAACCAACCTTGAAATTCAAACTAAAAGTTTAAGGATACCGACTGACAGAAAAACAACTTATTATCAAGTATAGTATATTATAATTTTCAAACTTAATCCTGTATTTTGTTGTATATTTGAAAATATGATTGTTTCAATGTGATAACAAAACATCAATTATTGAAATGTCATGTAGATGTCTATGAATATATCGTTGATATTCTAGTTCAAATATTAATCATCTATGAATCTTAGTAGCTTTATAATCTACAATGATTGACTTTTTTTGCAAAGTATTACATGATCAAATCCACTTGTTTAGGTAAAATACAAAAATTGTCGTTTAAAATCAAAATATTTCATAGTAAACATTTATTCTAAAACCTTGAATTAAATTACGATAACTTTTGTGATAAATTGAAGTAAATGAATTATCTATATGGTAACTGGGTATTATTCAAACAAATCCATTTTTAAATGTTAAGCTTGAGTTCATCGTAAAGGATCTTTTTTTAAATGTTCAACCACAATAAATAAGCTTCGATTAAGAACGAATAAACATTTGTATTGTTATATTTACTACTCATAAGTAGTATAAATATTATATTAAAATTGCGTCATGTCGTTACTGTGCGATGGAAATTACATAGTCCTCGTAAACCTAACAATACAGATGGTTCCATTCTTGAATTAATACCGTTCGGGGTTCTCATTGGAAATAATGAGAATTAGATAGCTAGTTATTTATGTACGGTACCCCAAATTCTTGAAAAATGGGTTTCATTTGTGTCAACATTCAGGTAGTTATTCATCAACGACGTCGGATTACTTTTGCTCTTTAAAATGAAGCTAGAACTTTCAGTGAATATGGCTTTTCATTATAGAATAGTTTTAAAAGTGTGACTCAATAATCCTGCTTAACCATAGGGCTGTAAGGATCACTGCAACACAAATAAAGATAATATTATCAAGACGATATTAGCAGCTGAAGATCATTTACACAAAGAAACATAGCTTCAGAGACTTTAGGTAATAATATTAGGAGAACCATCCCGTTCGTCTCAAAACTTCATTTCATGTAGTCATAAGACAAGCAAACAATTATTGTGGTACTCACTAACTACAACAACGCGTTCAACAGGATTTCATAATATGAATTCCATTTGAAGCTGTAAAATACAAGAATACCAAGAGATTTGCTTTGGTAGGTTATTCAGTTCTTTCTTAGTGATTAACATAGAGCGCGTGACAACCCCTTGGTTTTTTCTTAGAGTCTACCGCTTGATGAATTGCTGCAAGTCGTGATACTATGTCTACTATTATTTATCTCTTAAACGATTGAAATATTGTCTTATCAATTTCCAAATGATTCTCAACATGGACGACTTTGAAATACGAAGAGGAGTATCAAGCGATTACAGGACAAGAAGTTTTCAACCTAACCTCGACATCTTAACTAGTTGAACTTAGTTATAGTTAGCACCTACCAATGCAACCAAATCTGTGCGTACTAGGCATGTAGACAGCAGGAACTACAGAATTAGATAAATATCTCGGACCTCAGACCTCATCTACAATGACTTAGGAGCCATAGTATAGCATGAATTGAAGATCACTTCTCGCTGACCTTCATACGCGGTTAAAGGATTTTGGAACAGTATAAACATTGAGAGGGACTTTCACAAATGTAGATTTAAAAATACATTCATAATACATAGTCCTAGTGAAATTCAAATGGGATTATTGTGCTCAGGATACAAATCCTTATTTAAGAGAATACTCAGATTTACTTGAAAGAGTACAGAAGACAACTATATATGAGATTGATGAAGATGATAAGTATGATTCATGAAGCGAGCTCTAGTAATTTAATTGACATTAAACTATCCAATACCAAATTAAGCGGTAAATTAATCATGGTACATATGATGCTGAGTAATGATTTTGAATCTAATATCTTCTCGTTGATTCACTCACGTAGGCAGAAGTAACTCAGAGTGAACAGAATTGGAGTTCAAAGTTATGAATGAATCATATATTCATAAGTAAGAAGTTTTTCTATCACATAACTGACTTCTTGAATCTGTTACCTTAAAAAATTCTCTGCTTCTTTGACTTATTCATTAAAGAGAAACATAAACATATAAAGAAGTTTTTTTAAAGAAACTACTAAGATACACTATTTGACCTACTTTCCTGAAATAAAAATCTACAATTAAACAATGAAAATAAGAAATAGAAAGACTTATATCGAAATGATGTTATCTTTAAAAATGATAATAATATTCAATAATTCAAATAACACTTATATAGTGAAACAACCAATGGTTAGAGACCCTGAATGACATGGCTCAAAATCGTTTGCAATGGCTCAGGTGCATCTACTCTTTGTGTTCTCTCAAATTCTAATCTCCTGAATCCTCCTTGTCTCTTTTTTTCTCTTTCCAAATTTATTTCACTGTATTATACTCTTTAAATAACATTTTCAAACCTTAATCTTTCCGATTACTGCTTATACTCTTACCACCTCTACCACTGTGGGATTTGAATCGACAACTGCATCTCTATGCTAATATGGTGTAGCAACTCGAATTGATGTACGTACGTACGTACAAAGTTCTACGTTGTTACTGACTGACTGAAATATAGTTTATATTATAACTCACAAATCAACTGTTATAATGTTACTATGATCTTTTTATTATGAATATTATTATCACTGATGTGCATAATTTTTTATTTATCTAAAAAATAAAAATAAAAAAAACAATTTGAAACAAACATTTATAAAGTATAAAATTAAAAAAAAAACCCAAAAGAAATTGATCAACAAATGAATGAATGAAGTTAACATTGGAGAAATAGAAAAAAAAGAAAGAAAAGTGTCATATTCATTTGTTTTTTCTTTTCTTTTCCAAAAGATTTGATTACAATTCATTTACATAAAATGTTTGCATGGAAACAAAAAAATTAATAATATAAGTGGATATTTGAAATGATACAAACGATGAACTTATAGTAATAGAAATATTAATGAAGTTAAGTAAATCAGAATATTCAAAAGGGAACAGAAAACAAGAATATACTGAACTTATATGTATATATATAAACCATTTGAGATAATTAGTGGTGATGATATTGATGAACTTTTTCTTTGACCTAGAAAATATTCAGATGATTGATAAAACTTCTTTCAGCATGATACAGTTAACGATATATGTATATATTCATCAGTCCGAACCTTTTCTTATAAACAACGTTCACTTGCTTACAGTATAAAAACTAAATACACGAAACAAAAAAAGTTGTTCAAGTAAGATTTCGTTGATATTTAACTCAGTGTTTGTAGTTTATATTTCTACAGCAGGCGCCATTATTCTATGCTAAATATTCACTATAATCTTTAATATTTAAGAAAAGTCTATACGAAATGTTTTTTTTTTAATATTGAAATTTATAGTTCAACTAGGTATATGTATTAATTGATCATAAAAATATTTTTTTTAAAAAAAAACAACCCAACTTGGTTTCAACGAGAAATAACCACGTCGTTTTTTAAACATTCAACAAGATCATGATCAAGGAATAAATGTCATTGACAAAATAACAATGAATTAATGATTATTCATAAGAAATTTAAATATGTTCATACAAATGATCTTTATTCATTTCATAAATATCAGCAGTTAGAATTTAAGGGAAATCAAAAGATATACATTGGAAATGATCTATTCGTTGTTGTTGTTGATGTTGTTGTCTTCTAATATCTCTATTTATATTATCATTATTATAAAGAGTAATAAAACAAATTAAAAAATAAAGAATTAGTCTAGTTATATAAACATGAAAATTTATATTTACTAAGGCATTTAATGTGAATATTTCATAATTGAATTTTTTTGTTTTCAATAAACTAAAATAAGTAGTATTGTAATTTTAATTAAAAAAAATATAAATAGTTGTTATCGTTGATTGTTGTTATTTGCTTTTTTTATTTGTTTTTTTTAAATATTTCGATATAAAAAAAAGTCGTTTTTTATTCTAGTTAAGATGATTTACTATTGGAATGATGGAAGTGATTCTCAACATTGATTTGTTACTCAACTCAATAAGATGATTATTTGTGATTACTTTTATTATTATTTGTATATGAATCCAATGTGTTCGTTAGGACTGCCGTATGTGGATTTAAATGTGTAGTCTGTAGAATGGCTTGTTCTAGTGCCTGTATAAAAAACAAAAAAAAAAGAAAATGATATATATATATATATATATATATATATATATATATATATGTATATATATCTGACAAGAAGTAAATGCGTTAATTTATGTAGAATAGAAGGAATGTGAAATTTAGTACGCGTTATCCATCCTATTCGAGACTCATCAGCAGGCTTAACATGCAATAAGATAGTTCAAATCAGTGCAATTTAAATTAAAATGCAATAATTTTTAACTTTTGGCTAGTAGTAGTAGTAGTAGTAGAGTAAAAGATGCAAGTTTCTTTCTAGTTCAGACATATCGCTTAAATGTATATGAATATTGATGATAATCATGTTAGTATTGAAGTGTAAAATGAGAAGCCGTTAGTTTAAATGCCTTTGAGAAATGGAAAACTTCTAAGAATAATAATAAAATGTAATATTTTTATTGAATGAATTAGAGGTGTTAAATTTCGAGATACATTAATTGACAAATAAATTAAAACAACACTCTGAATACATGTTATACTGAAACGATGTAAATCTGAATTAGATTGCATAATCTAAAATCAGTTAATTAAAAGAACATAAATTAAATTTCACTAAAGCTATATGAACAAAATTTTAATATGCCTTTCATAATAAATACGAAAAATATTTAAGGTTCATAATGATTAACCGTTTGCTTAGATAAAGAGATACCTGATTCATAAAAAATTAACTCAATAAGATACATTGGAGTTAGGAAGGGTCAAATGACTATTTCATTCTGGGGTTAACTACATCTCATATTTTGAAATCAGTGAAAGGAACCGTATTCGATTTTCTTCACGATAACTCCATTTACTTAAAATGTACAGTTATACTTCTAGTGAATTAGTTTGCTAAAAATAGTACTCTATGATAAAATAGTAGTGTGAAGTAATTTTGAAAGATTTAGATCTCATTGCCTGTTTCTTTCGTTCAGATTTTGGTCCAAAAATATCATGACAACATATTTATTTTGATAATTCATGATATTTTAATCGTAAGTTTTATGAAATATTGACAAAAAACGAGAGAAATCTTTATCAAAATATCCTGAATTACAAGCATTTCTTTTGAATTCGTGATAAAATTATGTCTGCTATATATATATATAATGACTATAGTTAATCACAGTCTAGTCGTTATAATAACATTAAGTAACGATGTAATTGATTCATGTTATACTCAATGAATAACTGAAGCCTTTCTTTTCTCACTTTAGTGGTCAGAGTAAAGAGATCTATAGCTTTGCTTAATCACGTTTCTTTAAAAAAAAATTGTTGCATTAGATTTAAGTCAAGAGACTGAAATAAATATTTTAGTCTAATGAGTTTTACTAATTTTGTCAACATAGAATTAAATGAACAAAAGTAGTTCATTTCATTAAAATTCTCATGTTAAATATACATAAATTTACACATCATAGCAAATTAGTAAAATAAGAGTAATACAACTCATACTAAACTTAGATTATAAGAATTTAACTTCAGTTGGTTATGTAATTAGGTAAATTAAAAATAATGTATAGTGATACTATAATTTATGGACGATCTTTGTGTGACGATAGACTGACCTTAAGAGTGCCCATCTAATAACTAGGACCAAATATGGATTATAAACCAGCGTGAAGAATTACGATTAAGATTTACATTTGATGGCTAAGGTTAAGACTTAGATTTAGAGTTGACATAGCGAACTGACATAAGCTATAGTGCCAAAACTTTATTTAACCAAATGGATGAGTGAATTTCGCGACAAAATCCGAGATCTATGATCTTATACCTGATTAGTTCGTCGATAAATTCTAGTCCCACCCAATGTGTCTCATACATAAGAGGTTGAATACTGAATGAATAGTTTGAAAGTATTTGATATAAATGGGAGTCAAACAATATATTATTACTTTAAAAAATATCCAAAGGGTTGAAGAAATCAGTGGAGCTAATCCATGTCGGGTGGTCTAACATCAATCGGTTCATGATTTCAATCAAAAACTTAATAATCTCCACAACCCCTATACTAGTAGTCCTAAACTAAAAATTGGAGAATTACATAATAAAGCATAAAAGAATCAATCTACATTTATTAAAAAGTTATGATAATAATTCTTGACGGGAAACCGAAGTACTCTTGATTAATTTTTATTTACACAAGATGTAATTTCAATGTGTATATAAACTAATTAAATTAGAACTAACATTTTAATAAATATTTCTATATATTCAGAATGAGTATATGCTTAAGAATAATTACTGATTGTAGGAATCAGTATCAATCTAATAATTTCATGGTTTTGAAGATTTCATATTGATCAAAGTTATCCTCAAGTATTTGTAATTACCAAGGTGCTGAATACCCTCTTATAATTCATTTCAAATAAGAAGCATTAGGGTATCAACTTATAATCTATCTTATATTACTTTGATACACAATGAACAAGCTTTTTTTTAGCATTGGACAACAAGATATTATAAACTATAAATGAGCGGAAATCATGAAACCTTAAAAGTCATAAATAGGGGTAAGTTAGTTTCTCAATCGTGCAGTCTAAACGTTTTCATGTCTTACCTATGAATAAGATGAGTATTAGTTCTATTTGTTGTCAGATACAAAATTCACTTGTTTTTCTGTATTTATTTTAGGTATTTAGAAGTCAAATGTATATCTCATTGTTGTTATAACTAATTGCTTGTAAATATTGAATTAAATCAATAAGATTACAAAACCATATTTGTTATTCAGTCTAAATTAAATACATTTCATTCAATGATATATTTTATAAATAAAAATAATACATGAAAACAACTATCATTTCATTATCTTTTGTGTAAATCAAGTAAGCTGTAAAATTAGTGTATTAGGCAATAAGTTAGAGCTATTTGTATTTTTAAGTGTAATAACCGTGATTATAATTTTGTTAGATTATCAGGTAGCACATATTCGATGAGTTATGATACTTACAAGATCAGAGTCTATCAACGTTGTGGAACTTTGATGAAATTCAGAATCGACGCATGTAGGAGTAATCTGTTTTTGCCAAAAAAAACCAAGGAAAATATCTAAATTCTTAAAAGTTGATTAATATGAATATATTTTCAGTAATGATTATAATGGTTACCTACTATATTGTAGCCAACCTTAGCATCGTTCATGAAAGAGATAGATTGCATTAGTGAGTAACTTTGTATGAAATTAAGAATAGTATGAACCAACACGCACTAAAATTCTAGTTTCAAAATCTGATCTTCCAAAAGAAACTATCTAAACACAACAAGTGAGGAAAATTTGTGCGGTACTAGTAAAATTCAAGTTGCACACTCAGAGACTGGTCACTGTAATAATTTGGTTACTGACGATTTGATACTTACTATTTTTTTAAAATTATCTTTCAGTGATTACATTTTCGGCAAATCTGTAACCCAAATAACAAGCAAAATTTTCAGAATAGGTTTATACTTGGAAACTTAGCCTGTTGTTAATGAAACATAATTCAACTTGTTCTTCTAAGTATTACTGTATCAATTAAATAATTTTCATTGGATAAATTGTGTGGCTAAAGCGTGATAGTGCCTCTATGACAAGAGTATATACACTTACTAAACTTCAACCTCATCAAGCGTGAAGATGCAAAAGAGAGTGGTTATCATCTTAATGACCACCTAGTGTCAGTCAAGAAATCGCCCTTAATAATTGTTCGAGTATTTTAAATAATGCATGAGTGATCAGTTTCCAAAATAAAAATATCATGAACACTTATTCAAAAAAGTGTATATGGAATTTAAGTTTGTCCGAAAATCAGTATATTCTATAGATCAACTGACGCATCCATGAGTATTATTAAGTTTTCACAGTTGAAATCAGGAGTCGATCTAAGCTAGAAGACTATTGAAAAACTGGAAGCACCGGATGTCAGTTTCGCCCCAGTGTGAGACTCCTCAGTAGTGCCTGTTCGCAATCCTGCACAATGGACTCGAACCCGGGATTTCCGGTCTCACATGTGAACGTCTAACCTCAGACTACTGAGCCGGGATCGAGTTGTGGTAATATCTGACTTCAATCGATCCATGATCTTGCCTAACCCTTTATCCATTGTTTGAGGTAAATAACTATCACATACCTGACACGGGTTGGGCTCCAACGCCGTTGAATGCCGGCTCAGTGATCTAGAGGTTAAGCGTTCACATGCGGGACCGAAGGTCCCGGGTTCGAGTCATGGGTCCAGAATTGTGTGTGCCCACTGATAAGGAATTCCACACTAAGATAAAACGGCCGTCCAGTGCTTTCAGGTTTTCAACAATGGTTTGGCTTAGATCAAATCGTAATTCAAACTGTGAAAATACGACAATCTACACAATCCCCATACTGATAATATTAAATCCATAAAACTATTTGTACTACTTGCTGATTTAAAGTAGTATGACTTGTATAGAGACAATATAAAATTATGATGGAATTACTAATAAAAAGTTTTACGGAAGAGTTTATGAGTAAATAAACATGTTACCATTTATTCATCTCTTTATGATAAAATTGTTTTCACACATTTCAGATTTGTTAGAAAATGTTGTACAATGAATATATGACTTAAATCTACTCAATCATTATCTGACTTAAAAATACAAGTCAGAACGTTTTCAGAATCTTATTTGATATCCCAATTATTGCCATATTTTTAAAATGGGTGTATTCCACAGAAGTAAAATAATCTCACTTACAATATCAGCGTGAAAATTTGATATAGGATTACGGTGATATGTTCCATTGGGTTTTGTTTTCATCTAAAATTTTAGAGAAAAAAGATATCGATGATAAGATGTAAATTTCAAGTGAATAATCAAGTAAACTCTTAAGTTTGAAAGTCTTTTTATAGTCATTTTTTATTAGAAGACCTAGTTATTTTCTTACGCAGTAATAGTACGTATAAAAATAATTATTATTGAGACTACCATCATTATCACTCGTATTATGAGTACTATATTATTTTTCACGATTCCTAATCAATAATAACCTAATTCTTATTACCTGCACATATTTCTTGTAAGCGTGCTCAAATATTTAAATTTCAGCTTTACTCTTTTCTTATATGAACTAAGTCTGAGCCACTATGGAAAATCATTTTATTCATTTCTGAACTTTTATCATAAGCTGACTCAACAAGGATGGATCTTATTTATGATACTAATAGGCATATACAAAACTCGTAGCTGATGAGGCTATCGTAAAAACAATGCTGATGTCTTACAGGAAACGATAACCGTAATCATTTTTTCCCAGTTCTATTTTCCACATGATCTTTGTATTTTTCTGAGTAGTTGTAATTGCTTTTATTTATTCAAATTTCTGTATGCTTGAAGGCCACGTTTTTATCACTATATATATATTTACAATTGTATCAGTTTGCTAGGATTATAGTTAATGGACGATCTTAGATTAATGGTGAAGTGAATTATAAAACATTTAACCAATTACTAGGGTCGAAATACAATTAAACATTAGTGTGAGGAATTAAGATTTAGGTTTGCAAATTATAACTGAGGTTATCATCACAAAGCGGCATCAGTTATAGTATCAAATGAATTTCGATCAAAAATCCAACAGCCATCATGTTAATTCTTATTGGTTCGTCCATAAATTATAATCGTGCTTCAAGTTTTCCTTCAACTTGTCTTCATCCTTAGTTTGTTAGCTGCCAAGTGCTGATTTGTTGTATGCTAGTTGATATGATCGATTTCACAGAAAACCAAACTTAATAAATACTGTGGCTTGGAATGAAAATTCCTCGTAATTTAAACAAAATATGCATATACTTTCTTAATGCGTAATTTAATCAGTATAGTTTGCTTTGACGTATTGTTGATATAAATTATTTCTATTTACATAAGCTGACTAATGCTATACGACATATTATAGCTTAAATGTATAAATCAAATGAAATACATTTTAATGGCTTTAGATTAAGTATGAAGAGTAAAAAAAGATCAGTTAAAGATGAGATTCAAATTCCATTTATTTATAGCTAATTTAATGATACAAATGTCTTTACTTGATGTCATGCTAAATTATCTTGAATAGAATATTTAATGGTTGTCATTAGCCAGCATCTAATGAGTGATTTCTCAATAAATTTAAGAGGGACATAAGAATAGAATTGCTTCAAGTACAGGAGGAAAGTGTATGATATTCCTTAGACAGATCTAGGTTATTTTGGTACTATCTTTTTAACAGATCTCGAAAACATCAAAAATCAAATTAAAATAAGCTTTCTGGGCTATGAAAATTAAATCGATTTTAAGTTAGAGGGAAGTGGTATCCAGTGTTGCCTATGTTCAATTTATTCTGTTGCTAATAACAGTATAAATGACATAACGTATCTTTATTTCAATAGATATTATCATGGAATGGAAAACTAGGAAAATACTTTGTAATTAATAATGGACAATTAAATGTTATAAATAGTTCTACTGTTTTACTTGTGATTCAGATCGCTCCGTAGACGGATGATTTGTATAAGTGTTATATAAGGCATCAAAATGACTTTCAATAATTGGTTCACAAGTTTCCAGAAACTAGAAAATATGAACAAAAGAAGACAATAATACAATTTATTAACATCGTTTTATAGAAATGTGTCATGTATTTGCTGCTAATATCTTGAACTCATGTATTTTTTAGAGGATGTATACCGTAGTCATCTACTTCTATTAACGTTCGATATTTAATTACCGATTGTATCATATACAAGGTCGTTAAATAAATGGGAAGGTATCTGTAGTAAATTTAGACTCTTTGAAACTACTCACTCACAGGACTATCCAAGACATAATTCAGTTGTAGCAGTGACCACATCACTATACATCAGATGCGTTGGAACTTGATGGTCAGTACTTCTATTTTCAATAAATGCTTACTACACTTTGATCGTCGCCTATTATCAGCAACGAGTATCTTCTCTCGCTCCGGACTTTCCTCCTGAACAAGGGCCGTAATATCGAGAGCAAAGCAAAGTTTCCCACTGGTTCTTTAGATAATATCAATACTTAATAAAGCTGCCATCAATTGATTTTAACTTCTAGAAGCCAACTCTTCTGTAATTATTGTTGAATCTGATTCACAAGTAACTTTTAATAAAGATATTTGTGAAGCTTTTTGTCACTAATTTCGGATCTGACTTTAAAAAAAATACAATTTTAAAGAGTGATCAAGTTTCTTCAAGAAAAAAGTTACTACATAGTGATTAGGTACATATTGTAGTATTTTAGGAAATCTAAAACAATATGATAACGTTCTAAAATGTAACTATTCGGTTAACTAAACCAATCTTTAATGCCCTATATTTCGCTTATGATGGTCTTTCGTAAAAATGTGCTATCTCTTGCCTTGAAATTCACACTTACTGTCATTAGTAAAACACATTTAAAATCTCAAAGAAGAAAACCAGTTTCTTCATGATTCATGTTATTTGGTTGTTTTAACGACTATGATTTAAGAAAAAAGGTTTAGAGCTACGTGGCGTGCAACTAAAATTATCTAACCTTAGGCTAGAAGAAAACGTTATTGAGTATTAACTAGTTTGAATTGTGTGGGTCTACTATTTCTTCCATATCCATTCTCCAACGTTTAACAACAAAAGATTTAGGTATTATTTCTTTAATTATTTAATATGACTTTTGATAAAGACCATTTCTTCGGGTTAGGTAATCGAAAAAATACATGATAAACCATTATTTATTTATAAAATGAATATAAATAACTTTAACTATTGCACTCAAGGGCACACAGAAAACAGCTGATTATTAACATAATGATAAATAACATTCAAGTAGATTATTTTCTGGAAATAAGATTCGTTCTGTTAAAAAGCTGCAGAAATACAAATCAACACTTTACGTCATTGATCAGTAAGATACAAAATTTTCTAGGACCGATTTTGATTCATCCTATTGTGTGATCATATCATTTTCGTTAGATAAATTATCCTGTTGTTGAACCAATCAATATACACAATATAACCATACTTTTATTATAATTCTAGTTTCTTTAAAAATATATATAAAGCGTAGTATTTTTAGTCAGATATAAAATTCTAGGGATAGCAACTGATAGGTGTATTTTTAGTGCGAATCAGTGACGATTAACACATTAAATCCATTCGGAAATATGCTTTTTTCTTTTATACAAGTGAACTTATTTGTGTTTTTTTATATCGCACTGGTTAAGTTCTTTAGAGTATATGTTTAATTCTTTTATGTATCAAACAATGAATACTTAAATACATGAACAATGAAGAACGATTCGAATCAAAATATTAAAGTTTAAAATTCATGATTCGTTACATGCATCCACTATTAAAGTATAACAGTCATGTTTCAAAATCTGAATCGAACATACCATTCTTACTTCATCTTCTTGTTGATCACTTGATGAAGGGGATTCTATACGTATTGATTCTACAGGAATATCTTCTAGTTTACTTGGGCTGCTACTTTTTACATTGTTGTTATCACTGCCAAGATTATTATTTATTATTGTAGAATGACCATATGTGTCACTGATTGAATTTAGACTGATTTCTTTCTGATCTTCAGTATATACTTCTGTCTTTGTATTATGAGTAACTAAATGTTTTCTTGAGTGACTGTCGTGTTTGACCGTATTCTTCGGTGACGAAATAGAGTGTGGTAGAAGCAATGATTAAGAAATAATTTTTATTTGGAAACATGAATCATTACACTAGATAATTATTTAATTAACTATTTGTGTATTGTTAGAATTTATATGTAATCACTTATACAGTGTAACTACTTGATATAAGTATCTTCACATTCAATTCATTGTAGCCCGTTGAATCCTACTTCTGATCTTAACATCGCCAGTTGAGAATGCACAAATCAAACTCAGAGTAGGATATAATGTCAAAAAGTATAAGTTTATACAACTGCAACTAAAGTTATTAAAAAGGAGTTGATAAGCTTATTGTAAAATATACATTTACGAAAATTGACTAGCTCATTTATATTTTAATGAAATAAAGGTTTGTTTCCATAAATTAGATACGTCCCTCATATAAAAATGGTTAAATATATGAATAAAACATTGATCAATGCTAACTGTCATTTATAATTTGATGGACTTTACAGAGTCGTTGTGAACACTGAAACCTATCATTGATAATGATTCGAAAAAGGCAGGTTATATATTTCTAATTAACATCCAAAGCAAAATAAATTTACGTTTCAAATTTATTAATTGTATATATATATATATATATATATATATAACCTAGCTACAGATTGACTTGATTTTCAAGTTGTGGCGTTTGCGAGTAATGGTCCCCAGATCACAGGCAATTTGTTTACACATTTCTGGTCATATTATCTTATCATTTACAAACACTTTATTAAAACTATAGGTTTATTATAGCGCTAATCTGAAAAAATATACTAAAGGTTAAACAACACTTACAGAACTAGGCCATTTTGGTGATTCGAATACATATTCGTCTGAAGCTGCAAATAATGGAGTCCAATCGTCCTAGTATTTTTACGAAAAAAATTATATAAATAATAATTTACTCTTATTAACAAGTGGTTCATTTAAAAGTTATATACTAATTTTAATAGTTGAGACCATGAATCATTTGAAGCTAGACCATCATGGGAAACTTGGAAGGATTGGATGGCCATTTCGTCCTATTATGAGACTCCTCAGCGGTGCGCATCCACGACCCCGCCTCACGTGATCCGAACCCAGGACCTATCAGTCTCGCGCGCGAGCGCTTAACCATTAGACCACTGAACCAGCCGGCATACAACGGTTTTAGTGTTTAACTTTAACTAATCCATAAAATTGAGCGACACATCCATCATTGTCTTCAGTGAGTTACTATCTCACAACAGAACTGGTTGAACTCCACTAGTCACAGCTTCTTAATAGAACTCCAGGAAATATCTCTTGGAGACCGTCACTAGTGAGCATATGTTGATTAATATCAAAAGGGATTTTGTAGATATTATAATATATAGTTGTATATCAATTACTTTATTAAGGTTTTCATGATTTACCGAATTTTAGGTAAAAGTAGTCAATATAAATCTTTTGATAAGTTTGGGAATATAAACACTTGAAGATCTTTTTTCTAAAATAACCTCAAACACATCCACTGTATCGTAGCTCGTAAGTTTACTGAATAACAGTTGACTATCATGTATTGAATAAAAAATTGTGAATGTATGCCTCAAGTTTAAAATCAAAGGAAACAAGTAGACTTTATTATTTTTTAAGTTTTAACCAAGAAATTTATTTAATGACCGTTTGTCACCTCTTATATCATCAATCGAATATAAAATAAAATTCTTTACTGAAAATTATATGGTAAATTAGTGTTTGACAACAAACTCAATTATTTGAACAGTATTATACAACTGTAGACAAGTTATCATAAGAACAGATAGTCTTCTATGTAAACATGTGAAAGTACTAGTATAGTGTAACAGTATTTGTAGAATACAATTAACTGACTGATTAATCTTTTATATTTATTCAGTATCGTATATCTGATTAATTGTATTTTGATGTTTTTTGGAAATAAGAACCTCCAAGTTGTGTCTTTTAAATCAACAAATCAGTATTCGAAACATTGTACTTGTTACAAAATATAGAAGTTCGCAGATGAATTTAACGCCATAAAGATCACATGAAATATTAACAACGTAAATATTCATGTTTATAAGTTTGGGATCCACTGCCGTCATACTCAACAATTTTTTGAGTAGCAATACGTCAACGGAACAAATTTACCATTCATCACTTTAACTCTTAATGAATATTAGCCTGAGGTCAATTCATTATTAAAATCTTATCACTTACTTCTGGTGGATATTTAAATGGTAAGTCACCATAATTTAATTCTAAAGTAGTATCGACCAAAGAAGCTGCAGGATAGATTGGTTCATTGTTTTTTAATAATTTTTTGTCAATTTCATAAGCAGGACCAAATAAGCGATTATTTTTTGACCATTGTATTATTCCGTTACTCAGATCAAGAAAACAACCAATTACATCATCTTTACGGAAGGCCTAATAAGGAGACAATGTTAAGAACAGATAGATAAATGTTATATGAACTCTGAATATTACTGCAAATCAAACGAAAATTAATGAAATACTGGTGAGAAAACTTTATATGACGTGAAAAGAAGCATTACACAATCACTTAATATCATCTATAGGCACTTGACTCAACATATACTTGGAATACCCTTAAACTTTAAGTCTTAAATAAATTAATACCTATTGTGTATTCAGTTTAACTAGGTGTAGAGTCCTTGAAATTGTTAGTAATCCCAGAGAAATATTTACGTAGTCGTTTCTTGATTTTACAATTACCTGATTCCGAAAAGATATGCAAAAGTTTATCGAAACTGATCAGTTAACTCATCTATGCTGAAACAAAGTGTTAATTACATATTATCAGAGGCTTTACCATAATTCATTTTATATGAGGTATAATGACATAAGGAGTCAACTTCAAGCATATATCTTTGATAGAAAAATTTCCACAAACCGATACATGATTTAAAAAGGATCCCGATTAGGCCTATTATGTTCTGTACTCATATTAGATAATTTGTAAAAATTTTTTCCTGAAGGAATATGTATATAAAGTCAGTTTCAGAATATCTACGAAATCTTCACTACAATAATACGATCACAGGTAAGGCGGGGGTTAGAGGTCGTCACCAGGAAACCCTGGACCTAGGTTTCGTGTTACTTGGCACTCGTCAGCAAGGTATACCCGTAATCTTGAGGGGACTGATGCTTCCTGATTGATTCGATCCCTTGTCACCTAGCTTCACAGTCAGAGACGTTCCCACTGAGCTATCTGATCCGCATCAGTTCCTTCAAGATGACAGGTACACCTTGCTCACGAGTGACAAGTAGAGTGAAACCTAGGTCCAGAATTTCTTGTTGATTACCTCCAACCACCATCTTATCTCAACATAGTGCACGCAATGTCGAGTCATCTAGACTGGTGGCCACATTGCAACTTGATCGATAGGATTCGATTTGCACTAGGAAGGATCTGACATACATGACATCGATCACCACCCAGTGGTCAATCAATTGTAAACGTTAAGAGGTTTTAGATGTTTGAAGTATTCATCTACTCAAATCAAACCAATCTATCGAACTTCAATATCAACCACAATTTAAAAAAAAAATCAAATTTATTGAAAAGAAAGCATTTTATTCTATCATAAGATAATTTCAACAAATAAATTTATTCATCTTATTAACTTTATAAAGCCACTATATCAGGTGATATAATCAGTTAGTTATAGTGGTAATCAAATATGTTATTCTTTAAACTTGAAGCCAATATGAAATGCCAAAAAATTGTTATATACACCCATTTATATGAAAAGTAAGTTTATGTTTCAGGAATAACTAGCAATATCCATATTAATAACTTATTATCGATCAATATTTTTGCATTTTGTTATATGGTGATATGCAGTTGTAACAGATTGTTTTCACACTTTACATCACGGACAAATTTTATATAGAAAACCATTGAGAACCAACGGACATGGGAAGTTTCCTTTTCCAAGTATAGGACTCCATAGCAATGTGCATCAGAAACCTCATCGAAGATCGAGCCTAGGACTTTCGACCTTACTGAGTGCGAATAACTTTTAGACCACTGAGCTGCCATCCATTCACGACAGTGCACAACCAACTTTCATTGTATGAAGTAGATAACTGTTTGACAATTGACATGACATACCAGTGTACATTGGTTCAATAATCTGAAGGTTAATCGCACATAGCAGAACAGAAGGTCTTTATTTCAATCCTTGGTGAGATCATGGATAGACACTGTAGATGGATCAATACAAGAATGAATCAGCTGACCAGTATCTTTGTGTTTTGATAGCTCTCTAACTAAAATATCTGATAATCTTCACAAACCCCCAGTAAAAATATTTAAAGTTTTTTTAAAATTAAATGACTAATTATCAGAAGGGGTCTTTTGGAGATGTTACAAATTTCACTGATTGAAATCATGAGTCATTTGAAGCTAAACCACAATGGAAAGTCTGGAAGCACTAGACGGCCGTTTTGTCCTAGTATGGGACTCCTCAGCAGTGCGCATCCACAATCTCGCACCTTGCGAGATTCGAACCCAGGACCTATCAGTCTTACGCCAGGCGCTTAACCAACTAGACCACTGAGCCAGTGCTTCCAGGCTTTCCATGGTGGTCTAGCTTCAATTGACTCATGATTTCACACAGTGAAATGACTAATTGTTTTGTCTAGTTTGAAAACAAAGCAAATAATCTAAAACAATATTCAATTAACAATTTAAACCAGAAATAAACTACATAGTTATTTATCAAACATGTAGACACGTATTTGTTTTGATACCTGAAAAAACAACAACATTATGACTTATTGGTTAATTAAAATCACTGGTTGAGTCTAGTCTAATTGTTTACTTAATTCATATGAATATAAACAAAACAAAACAAAAAAAGCATCGTATTAAATTGTAACAAATTATGAGTATTTATATAAAAGGTTTACAGACTTTGTGAAAGCTGATGTCATTTTGTTAGTTAAATGTTATTTAAGTTGTTTAATATTCATAAAGGAAGAAAACTGTATGACTGTACATATTTAAATTTGTGATTGATTAAGTTGATTCTTTATAGAGATTAAATTATTATAAAGTATCAAAAGATAAAGATACTGCAATGAACAGAACACGAGTTGGGAACAATCGAATGTAATAAGCACAAAATTACAGGACTTGTTAATAAAATCTAACAATCATAAAGTAAATGCTTAATTTGCAAAATGTCCACCAATTGTCTCAAAATGACTCATACTTCATTATTCTTGCATTTTCGTACAAATTGGATCCTGTTTCCATTCTTTACTGTTCGATCCTCTTGTCTCTCTGCTGCCAGACTCTCTGTTAACGACTAACATCATATACTACTTATATCAATATAAGTAGCACACACCACAATACTACTTAATAAACTGACTAATTTTATATGACAGAGAAAAGTTTGTTTCTATAAAAATGAATAGATTTAATATCATTTAAAGTATTGTGAGAAATGTGTTTTATTAATTGTAAAATAACTTAAGAAATCAAGATATTTCTTATTTGAGTTATATAATACTAGCTGTTGAACTAGTAATATTGTTCCATATAATATTCAAGAAACAAATAAAAATGAAGTGCCTTAAGTAATAAATAAAACTTATTTGATTGAATTCAACTGAAAGCTATAAGATTATTAGTTATAATTCAAATTGATAAGAACTTTTAGTTAGGTGAAATTATACAATTATTGCACAATACTGAAAAGGTGAATAATGAACTCAATAGTGTAGTATAATACTCAATGAATTTTAGAAAATTTTCTAACGAACTTCAATCTTGATGAAGCATATATTTAAAATTATGAATGTGATATAGACGATGAATCAGATATTCGCTATTATGTACAAATTAGTTCATAGTAGATCAGTTAATAAAGAAGTGTATTTATCCTATTTTAGTCAAATATGATCAATCGATGATTAGAAAATTTCAGTCTTCAAAATAAATGACATCAAAACATCTAAATACATTAAGATTGGGAATCTTAATGTGCACTGCATTGACATGGAGTTTTTTTAGAAGCTAAGCACTCAAGTCAATCAACAAACACATTGAAATTGATCCAATTTGTCAACCGATCAGAAAAATTATGCACAAATATAGGAACGAAAATCAAACCAATGGGAGATAGAACCAAAACAAAGAAGTAAACAATGACAGGTTTAAGGTCAACAAGAACCAATCAATATCGAGGTCTACAGGACAAGCTGTGAACCATATGTGGAGAAATTCGAACACTTCATTTCTATCTGGAGTTTGTGCTGATGATGTCGTTCAGAAGAACGATGAAAGTTCCACGAGAAAACCATCCAGTTCAGAGAACGAAATTCCATCGAAATCATCCATCTGAGCTGACAATTACCTTTGTTTACTGATGTCGAATATAATATCCATTGTTGTAAAACTAATAAAAACGTATGGAGATTTTTTGCTTATATCTATGCATCCCTATCAGATAGACAGTACAAAATAAAGAAATTGATTCTACTACGTTTTATAAATGAAAGTTAAATTCGTTAGGAATTGATAAGAAAAACAACAAAATCCCCCAAATTAATACTTTAATATTAATGTTAAGAGTGATTAATTATTCGAACAGTCTTATTTCCAAAATAATAACATCACTTTAATCTAACACTTGTTTCAAAAGAATATCTAATCAGGTTAATAATACATTAGTAAGAAATTTTGATTTCATTCACTAAAAAGTAATGAATATGATGGAACCAAAATCTTTGACATCTAAATTAAATGTATTAACCATTGACAATTATATTTAGGATAGTTTGATTTCCATCAACATTTGATGTCATTTAATCTTTATCATTCATATTTACATTGACCTAAAAGTGGCTTATATTTTCGCATATATAAGTACAGTAAGCCAACAGTTTATTCATAGTTTAATACATATTTAAGTATTTTTCATAACTTTGTATTGATATTGATATTGATGATGTTCCATCATTTGAGGTGAACGAATGACTTTACTAGATTATGATATTTGGTTATTTTTATTTCTATCGAATATACATAGAATAAAAATGAATTATTTCAATGGAAACTCTATGTTTAAGTGTTTGAATAAAACAAATAAACTCTAAATACTAGAATTAAGATGATAGATTAATGAATGAACTTAATTGTAAGTAATCCTATCAAGTTTGAAACTCGATTTATTTCTTTTTAAATTATTTTCTTTAGTGGATAAGACAAATTTTGGTTAAAATTTTTTTAATTAGCAAAATTTCAGTCAGTCAGTCAGTTACAACGTAAGATCAGGCACATATGTACATCGATCGAAGTTGCCATACCTCATTAGCACAACAAGATGGACACCGGATTCATAAAAGTAGTTAATTCAGTGGTGGTAATATATAAAAGAAAGATTGCATATAAGGATATAATACAGGAAGAAAGAATTAGTTCATAGAAAGAAAGATATGAAGTGGTTTTAATCTCATAGTTTAAGGGAAGACAGATAGTGTATACACCGACGCCATTGTGATCGATTCTGAGCCATGTCAACCAGAGTCTCCAACCATTGGTTGCGATAGTCACGCCGATCTCAATTAATTAGTCTGCATCTACCAACATGGCTCAGACTAGAAGTTAGTGACTTCAATGACTGATGTCACGTTTTGGTTTGGCCACCCGCAACTTTCTTCCAACCACCCTTAACACTAGTCAGCGTTGCACATCGTGGTAATCGGTGTTCAGGCATACATAACACGTGGTCCGACCATCTTAGTCGATGAAGATCCACAACCTCATCAGCTGATTTACCATCATCCCCTAATACTCTGTGTCTACCCTCACTATTACTTATCAGGTGATCCCAGCAGACGCCAGCAATATTTCTAAGACATCTGTGATCAAATGCTGGTAGCTTACGAATACCTTCCACTCTTAATGGCCACGTTTTGCAGCCGTAAAGTAGAACAGAACGAACTACTGCGCAGTATACTCGTTCCTTGGTTGATAGATGGATATCTCGTCTTCGCCATAGGTGACGTAAGTTGGCAAAAGCCAGCAGATATAATAGTCAGTTAAGATAAGTATTTATTATATAAACAAACAAATGACATTTATAAACTGCTAACAAAAAAATGAAATCTTGATAAGAGCAAAACATGCACCAGACAAATCTGTATGCTACCGTTTGTTTGTATCCAATTGAAGAATATTTACTTCTGAATTTATAGGAAACATAAAAAAGGTCATAAACATTTCTTTTTAATACATTAATTTGATGGAGAATACTGATGGGCCACTTATGCCCCTCCATAAGGAGTAACAGACAAGTAACTAAGCAAGTACATCAGGTAATCTAAATAGAAATGTGGTAGTGATTTAGATGTCCTTAAATTCAAATCTATTATTCTTATATCCATTGATAGATGTTAGATAATCTTTTATGTACAAAAATCAACGAACTTTAGCTTACCTGTTTTGTTAAAATGAGTGTAAAACTATTTCATACATTTTGAATAAGTAAAATGTTACTGTTTTTTTTAGTTTTTCAATAATTTTATGATACGATATACATAAATAGACATATATTTCAAAAAAGCATTGACAAAAGTTTAGGAAACTTCCTTATTTATTATTTCTTTTAATAGAGAGTCAAATGTAATGAGATATTAAACCTATGATGAATTACATCTACAGTATTGTTTAAGATCAAGTAATATTGATCAAAGTAATTTATTTGTTCAATAATATTATAAATGTAATCATATAAAGTATTATTTGTTACAATAGTTGAGATCATGAGTTAATTGAAGCTAGACCATCATGGAAAACCTGGAAGCACTGGATGGCTGTGTCATCTTATTGTGGGACTCCTCAATAGTGCGCATCCACGACCCCGCCTCGTGAGATTCGAACCCAGGACCCATCAGTCTCGCGCACGAGCGCTTAACCATTAGACCACTGAGCCGGCTGTCATCCAACTGTTTAAATGTCTAGCTTAAACTAATCCACAAATGACGTTTTCTTTTTTTAAGTACTCACAATGACTAGTCTCCAACCAAATGTCAAAAATAAGAAACTCTACAGCCAATGTAATATCTAGTATGATTAAACAAAAGTTAAAAGTTAAACTGTAAATTAAAGTATAGAAAAATTGGCTACTAGTGAAAATTAATTGAAGCATTAGCCATACGAAAATTCAAACCCCCTCAATGTATTCAAAACCTATCCTGGTAATATTAGCTTATTATCTGGAGTGATGAAGTTCCAAATTATTTTCACATTATTTCATTATTATCCGTGTCTCCCCTTATCCTTCATTTCTAGTCTAGTTAACCTTTTATATTATTATATATAAATGTTCTTAACAAGTATATTATGTGTGATCAGATTATTCGAAATGTATTACGCTAATATATCTCATCATTCTAATAAACTTTGTCTTCTTTTACACTATCAAAAACTAATTTTTTAGCGAATTAAAAAAAAGAAAGTTGTGAATGATAAAAATCTATACAACGATGTGGATAGATTTTTGTTCGATACACGTCAAAGAGAAATTAAATTAGCTAGTTGCTAGTTGTCAATCGATGTTTATTTTTCTTTCTTTCGATAAACTAGTGACTTTCGAAAATATCCCGACCGTTGTTACCACCTTGACGTGGTGGTCGGGCTTGCCTATCGTGATGAAGCAACCGAGCTATGCTGGCTGAAACAACCGTTCCTCAAGGTCCTACCATGTCAGACAGGTCGGTTGAAGACTAAAAGCAACAAACCTAAGGTCCGAAGGTGAAGTCGTACTGCTGACTGTACAGAGGTGTGACAGGAGTAAGGTGTTTCCTTCAGACAACCAGCATGACAGCGATGCTGCCTTCCCACAAGATGGGGTGGTGTTAGAAATGGTCGACACTAAAAATACACACCTCGCCTTATCCCACGGATATCCGTCTCCGGTGCTAAGGTCTCAACAAGTACGGAGCTAACACAAAAATTACTCATAAAAAGGTTGTGTGTGACCGACCTCAAGCATTTGTCCCTTGGGCACTGCGGTCACGTTCTCAGGTCATTAAGACCACCTCTAATCCAATTTACTTTTCAGGTACCTCCAGAAGAACCCTTCCACGGTGTGGGCAACCGGAAAGTGATAATTGCCCTCATACCTCTAACAGCACTAAAGACCTCTTTGAAAATGTTTAAATAACTTTAACATGTTTTTACTTAATAAATGTTAAGAAGATCAATTTAAATAATATTAATTATAAGTCATCAATTAAATAAATTCTTACTTCACCATAATTTTCAATGATATCATTATGAAGTTTTTTCCCTTGTGATCCATTTATACCAAAACCATCTCGATCAGCTCCATATCCAAAACCAAAACAATCTATACCAAGATCTAATGATCCATTTTCAAATGACCAACCAATACGTGCTAATCCAGAGTCTTCAACAATTCTCACTTCATAGTAATAAGCTCTATCACCAAATATTCCCTATTAATTATATGAATGCAATCCTTGTATTAATTAACATCCATACTACTTTTATGAGTTTAAATATGTTATAAAGTAAGTAAATTATGATTTATACGAATATTTGTCAAGATTAGAACGAATAGTTTGACAGAAATTGGGCACCGAGTAAAGAGAAGTCATTATATTTGAAAATTACATTTGAAATAATCTCAGCGATTGAAATTTGAATAATTCCAACGTTTTGTCCATCTAACTTGTCTTTAATGATTTTGATTATTACCCTGAAGAAGTCCAGACAAGTTAGCTGGACGAAACGTTGGAATTATTCAAATTCCAATCACTGATATTATTTCAAACATAATTTTCACATATAAAGTTATGATTTAGTTAGTAAGAGAAATTTTGAACTTTTGTATGATTTCTTTTCCCTGTAAAACTGGTTTTATACTGCATATTGTTAGTAGTTCAAAATAATCATCAATGAACTACAAGCGTTTCAACTTCTTAGAATTTAGTTAGGATAGGATTTTCGAACATTTGAAAAGGTTTTGTTTTCTTACAACTATGAACGTGTTTTGTTGATTATTACTGTTTAAAAAGCTATCAGTGAGTTAGAATAACATCAATAGATAGATTGTGGAAATGTATGTAATTTATTGCTAAGAATTCTTATCATCTATACAGATAAAAAAAACATAATAATTATCCTTTTATAGTACTACAAAGTTTGAAATCCTCTTCAGTAATTCGTATTGTTATTAGCTAAGCCAACTTATTCCTTAGACTAGTAAAATGGAGCCAATATATATTCAAGTACTGTTAATCATGCATCTTTTAATTTGGATTATAATTGAAGTTTGCAGAAAAAAACAGAATGAACGTTAAAATCTTGATATGTTTCTTATGCTTAGCGATAACCACTCCCAAATAAATATTTATGTTTTTTCAGGTTACAACTTAACCGATAAAATTGAAGGATACAATATTGACCTTAATTTTATGCCATCCAACAACTGGGTTTCTGTCACTCTTTACGAATAGTTCAAAACTCAGCGTGTTTGTTTTTCTCTCCGATTCAACTCTTAAGCATTTTGGTCATTTAAAGAGAACACATTGGAGAGTAGAAATCCAAGCTATAATCTTGACATTATAGATACATCTATAGAGAAATCTAGACAGTTTTATAATACCCAGTCTATTCCATGTCTAAGTGGAGTTGTTATGAACTAGAAGTAAATTCAAACAAAGAAATCTGAATAGTGCATCTTTTAGCATCACCAATTATCTAATTGTGTTACGCCTCTAGAAGAAATATTTCATGCTGAAGATTCGTTTTAAATATGCTGAGGTTCTGCTTTCAAACAGTTATAAATACGGAAAGTTAGCTTCATTCTTAACCAGTGATAATTAATCTTATATCGGAATGGGTTGTGAATTAACAAAATGGTCTCACAAACGTAAGGTTATAGTAACTAAACTTATGAATGAATCAAAAATTTAAACCAACAGCATGTTTACTTTGTTCACTCTAAAGCCTTGCCATCCGGTATTTTCTACAGCTTGTACAAATCGACCATTAGGTGAAACTAATAAATTTGTACTTGATGTTACATCATTTGGGTTCACCCGCCAACCAACATTCCGATTACATACAATTGAAGAATCGGGGGCGTATGATACTGCTACCCAATGTTTATTAGTCGAAGGGGTAGTTTTAGGTGGAAAATTAAATGGCTTGTCACCAAAGTTTACTTCAACTCTGGCATTTTTAAGTGATACGGCTGTAAGAGAAATATTCAAAAGCGAACAAGATAATGATCTAAATTGTTAATGGTTAATAAGACTGTAAAATGTAACGTAAACCACCTCATAGCTGTCTAATAATATTTCCGTACCTATTCACCATCTAATTTAATGAAATAGAAGTTAAAAATCTGAAAAACACGTTTATACTATAGTAACGATTTTGAAGCAACTCTAGTGACCTGGCTGAGTTGGCTACTGAAAATTATATACTTGTGAATTGTTATTTGATTTTGTGCTCGACAAAAACGTCATATTTAAGTGCTGAATTAATTTCTCCCTAAAGAGAATTTACGAAAGATTACACCTGCTATAAACAATCATTAATTGCTTAGCCTACAATTAGTGTTTCCATAGGCCTTCTCAAATATTCAGATACACTATATTGAAGGTATTTCAAATCTGAATAAGAATGCTGATTATATTTTAAGCTATCGGAACATGATAGTGATATACGTTTGCTTAGTCAAGAAAAATGATCTGATATACTTCGCTAATATAAATAGGTTGAAATTTATTACATTCTAATAGTATCAAGTTGCCATTAAAATTTAGTTATTCAATGAAATACAGCTGCCAAAAAATCTCTTTTTGACATTTCTTTTAGATGTTACAGTTTGCATCAAATTTTTGGCATGTGAATGAAGGAAAGTGTTGTCTACTGAAAAATGATAAAAATCGAAATATGATTTTAGTACGATTTTAGTACTATTTGGAATTGAAAAATAAAAGTGTAATGCAATGTGTAGTTTATTGTGGCAGATCAAATTTGGCAAGACTCATCGTCATCAACAAACTGAAGCTATTAAAGAATAGATGGGATTTCACTAGAAGTAGAATCTAGGGCTCACATTTTGTTCCTGATGTACCTGGATCCGATAGTTGTTGAGCACTTGGCGAGTCCCAAATACAACGAAACATGTGTCCAGAATACCATTGCCAGTCACATTTCATCTATTCTACACTGACTTGTGTCATGATGGCGATATCTAGGCAATCCGCACATAGATCAACCAAGCCTGATCAAATTAAGTTAAAATATCAACAACGGGATAATCCAAACTACTTCAATTTGAATTTCAATACGTTCCTAATATCTTTAAATTACATTTAAGTCTATCAACCTAAATAGTAGTAATTTGTGCTTTATAACAGATGTGAGCCCACCAGTTTAATTGAGGATAGACTGATCTTGAAAGGAAGGAAAGCAGTCATAGATTATTTGTTTTGTCACACCATGACTGTTTAGAAAAAATAACTACTATAGGTTTGACAGACATCTGTATATTCATTCAAGCATTAGTTTCTTTATGTGTTAACATTCTACATTTAGCTTTCATGAAATAAAGAGAAGATGGTTTACTGAACGATACAATAAATGACTTACCAGGGAAGAGTGCTATATCTGGAGTTAATGTTTCAACAAGTTTAAAGTTTGGAGTTTCTAATAATTGGCCATTGTAACTATAGTGTATATCGATTCGTCGATGATCTTTATCAGCATTCGGATTTAATTCTAAATAACATCCAACTACATCTCCTGGTACGATTGGCATTCCGTAATCAATTGAATTATTTGCGTAGATAAATTTGCCAACTGGATGAGGATTATCAGCTGATCCAATACCTTTACATAAAAAATTGAACGGATAAGAAGTAAAGTAATATTGTTTGGTAGTATTAGTAGTATTATTTCACTTGTAAGATTTTAAATCTTCCTTTTGTTTATTCTAAGAACTGAATTTTGATCAATCACAAGTAACTTAAGTAAGAGTGGACAGTGGCTAGCACTGAATTCCAGGATGCTTGTCTTGTCTCGTTTGGGGACTTGTCAGCAAGATATACGGGCATCTGTGTGGATTCTTAGTCAGTGACTCAAACACATTACCTTCCGCTTCAACCTACCAACCCATCACCTAATGAGCTGCTCGTAAATTAATGACAATTTCGAGACATACTGTTCAGGATGTAGATATGTCAAAACAGATTAATCAATTGCAATCTTTAATATCAACAGCGGGAAAACTCAAAGACTCACTGAAGTTGAATTGTTGAAAAAATTTAGCTGATTACACTAAAATATTGGGTCTTCCTCTCATAAGGGGAATATAGTTGATAAATAGAAAACTGCAAATTTTATCAGTCATATAAGTTAGGATTTTTTTAGCGAGTTAGTTTTCTACGAGATGAAGTCGTTAACCCCATGCCCAACCCTCCTCCTTTATCCGGGCTTGTGACCGGCAGCAGCTCCAGAGGGGCTCTAGGTGGAGTTCATCAATCATATTACCTACAAAAAATTATTTATCTGTAGTTCCCTTTAATTTGAATCTAACTATCGTATAATATTTAGGAATGTCCGAAACTTAAAGTTTTCATTTAAAAGACGAAATGTAACTACTAAATAGTATGAGTTTAGTCAATTTATTTTATAAGTTCAATATTAGCACTTAAACTCATTTTAAACGGAATCGGATAATTTACTTGTCAAAGGTTTAAATTGGTCAAAATTTGTTACGACCAACTAAAATGAGGAAGCAGATTAACCTTTAAGTTTTACTTTATACATAGTTTTTTTTTGAAAAAAAACTATTAGAACAGAATTGACTAATCCTGAATAAAATTATTAATAATGAATTAGATTTGAATACAGGTTTATAGCTAATTACAGAGATGTTGCATGATTCTAATAAGGAACAATTACCATAGTAATGATCGTTTCTTATAAAATCTCCATTTATATGTTACCAATCAATCAAAAATTTTCAATGTTTCATGGTGAAGAAATGAACGATTTCTAGGGTGATTGTACATTTATTAAACAAACCTGTTTTATCAGCTCCATAACCAAAGCCTTTGGAATCTGTCCCGAGAATTAGGCTAGCATCATTTGTTGACCAACCTAAACGTACTTGACCTTCTTCAAGCATACATGCTTCGTAGTAATAAGCTCCTGGACCTTTTAAACCCCAATTTGTACGGCAACCCTAAGTGTAAACAGTAATAGAAATCAGAGACAAGTCAATATGAAAGTCGATCAAATGAAAACCTTTCTGTCAATCACAAATACACCGACTTTAAAATAGATACATAATGTCTCTAGAATGATTTGACTTTGTAATCGGCTTACTGAATATAATGATTCTCAGACAATAGAATATACCCAAAATCTTTAACTTGATTTTACTATTTAATAATGTTATGTTATTTTTATCCTTATTAAACCTGCTACTCTCATAACTTATTTAAAAGGACTCATTGCTTCGGTAGCCAATTTTTGAGTACGCTTTTAAACTTTCAGTGAATTTTCTATTCTTGGTATTTAGGTGAAATATAAGCAATCACAATTATGTAAAGCATTTGAACGTACGACGGGTAATAAAATGCTTTAAAAAAACGTTTCTCTGTGAAAACTTCATAAAATACAGATTATTAAAAGGGATTAAAGTAGGATTTAACAACAAATGAGATCACTGATTCTGAACATTTCAGTTAATTCATTGACCTGCTGAATGATATTGATGGTAACACTGATGACATCCCCAAATGAAAACGAGGGCAAACATAGTGGGTGAGATCAAAGAACAAAAATGTGTACGGTACAGAAAGGCAGTTATTAATTCCTCAATATCGGAAAAGTTTTCGTGATGATTTTATTAAATGTCACTTAAATTATGTTGGCTCTAACGCCTTTCCAAATCTGCCTCTATTCTAATCACCTTAGCACTTCAAAGTAAGGAGTGACCAGTCATAAATAACAAATGCATTCACTACATCAATCGATAGGGTTTTACAACCTCATCAACGGATTGACCACATCGCTATGAAATTATGTGCTTAATCGCAGCTCTATTTAATAAGTGGTTCTGTCAAACAAGGATAGTGGTTCGAAAATATTTATAACGAATTTCTTGCGACCTTTACACAACGTAGAGGTACAAGGGATAAATTCAATGTTAGTGACAAAATACAGAGTACATCTTTGAGTAATATGCTTTTCATTTGCTAATCAGGCAAGTATTTTAAATATGTCACAATTAAAGTATTAGGGTAAGGGGCAAATACGTTTTTCATAGTAACTGGTCAAGAATAGTGAGGCTCCTTAAAAGAGTGGTCATAAAATCCAATTACTTTAAATCCCGTTGTCATACTGGGTAGGGATTAGTTCTTAAGCGTTTTTTTCATGCAGAGGGTAAAAATCCCGATTCATATATCTGTTCGCTGTCACTAATAAGTTTCGAACGACTTTATATTGTGTTGACATCTTCTGCAAATCAAATTCTAAGTACTCCTTGTAAGTTTTAGAACGTATTTGTGATAGGATTCAATGGTAATAGGAGAAGTAGATAGCCCTAATGGATACCACTTGACAAAGCTAATTCACCTGACACTTTCATGTAAGCCCCACTGAACTATTCGCATTTGAGTGAAAAACGATCTACAGAATGACGAACTGTCAAAAAACATCTCTGTGGATAGACTCGAATAACGTTTTCATGTCAAAGAACACGACTACAGTAGGAATTCGGCAAACAAGTCCTTATTTAGAAATCACAGTTACATATAAAATACTTCTATGTTTCATGGATTCACTTCCTTTAAGTCACAACTAGAAGGCAGTTAATTAGGACAGCTAAAATTTTAAAGACGGTATCAATCAAGCTGATGCTTCTGAGGTGATCAAGAGGTGGTCTCATACTAGATTAAAATATAAGTAGTCAGTGTGGAGAACAGTCGAAGAGACCTATGTTAGATGTCAAAAAATAATTATTACCTCTGTCAGTTCATCTAGTGATCTTAGAACATTAGTATTAGAGGCCACTGGAGCTAAATCATTGTAGTTCTTAGATTTTTATTACTTTGAGTCAATAGTTGTCTTTTTTAATTTAGCAAAGTGGTGAGGACCCAATATCAATCCCATTGCTGGCTTTCTATGTTGATAATCGACTACAGGGTAGCTGATGGACATCAAATATATCATTTGCATATCTTCTCTGAATTGTCTCTTACAAGCTTCATTGTTCCTTCATTCCCGTTGTTATACTGATTGCTTTCAGCTTCTTTCTCTTCTCTTCGTGTCAATCTTCTCAACGTTCTACTCGCAGAAATTCCATTTCCGACTGGTGTCACATACTACTTATATCTTCAAACATAAGTAGCATAGACCACAGCTAACATGGAAGTCTGTCCGATTGTTGCAGTTTCAATCTCCCACAACTTTCCATAGCACTAAGTAAACACTCTGGACTTTACAACGAAGTTGCCTGTAGTTCTTTACATTAAGGGAACTCGGAAGTGGGCTACAGAGCCTTTGTTAGTTTCGGAGAAGCTTTAAATTTTCATTTCTAAATGTTACTCAGGCGTAATTAATGTATCTATAATACATTGGAAACCCAGCTAATCTTTCTCAATAATAAATCCATCTTCTTGATAACTCCTTATTTCATTCTTTAGCACATTCTTGAAATGCCCATTTCGGAGCTGGATCTGAAGATGTCTTCTCTTTTAGTTTTTCTAGATTCGCTAAGACGGTAGAGCAGAACTTCCGTATTTTATGAGTGAAACCTAGTAAAATGGGAAAATGAATACTCCAAGCAGGTTGTGGTATACATATATCAGTCTCTGAGTTCCTACAGTTTCGTGGATCCGGAGTGCACATTGGTGACTGGTCAGGCTCATTACATATTTCCTAATAAATGTCTGAGGAATTTAAAATCCCTTATTCAGTTGTATGCATATTCACTGGTTGATTACTGTAGTTAAACGCTGTCACAGTTAAAAGTAGGGGGTGCTACGCTTTGAGTCTGTAATCAATAGAATCATAAGGAGATCAAAATAGTCAGTTAAATTTGATTCACTTGAAATGATTCACTCTTCTTTATTTAAATACCTGTATTAATTCAACCATATAAAGGGATTGTGATGAAATGTCTCCGAATAACAGAATTAAAGGGACTATCGTACATATACAGTCTCAAAATTCCATTTTCCTTAAACGACAAAAAATGGTGGTTTATATGCAGCAAATAATCCAAGATGGCTAGGTGCCTGACAATCTGACACTCGATTTTATGACTCTATACCAAAGGAGAGTATAAAAGTGAGTAATTCAAGGATAAACATATTACAAGATGACTTACTTGCCATTCTGTTTCTGGCATTGCTGCTATATCTGTTCCATCAATATTTCTTCCTAATCCTTGTGTACAATCAGCTGCTGACATTTGCCAGTGATCTTCTGGTAAAGGTACTCGAATTGGACCTGGTTTACGGTAAGATGGTGGTAAATTTTGCAAAACATCAACATTTACTGAATTAGCTGGTAAAGGAGAAGGTGTCCCAGGCATCAAATAATACTGATCAGGTTCTTCTCCATAAGCAACTGGTGCAACACTACCAGATACTAGTAATAAAATAGAAACGGGTTGAGAAAATCATTTTTCTTCCACAATTGATTATTTTATGTAAAAAGATTCTAGTAGATTATTGAAAAATGAAAAGCAGGAGTGGTTACCCTGTACTTATTTAAACTTTGTCAGAAACTACTGAGTGTAGCTTATACTAAAAACATAAATTAGTGAACCTAGAGATAAATGTACTTGTCATATACCAGTATGTGTATGAAGAATAGCGCTATAAGCTCATGATACTACACATGATCTTATCTCAGAGAGCCGAGAAACGATAAGCAAGTGGTCACAAAACACACAGATTAAACAAATACACTGATTCCAAGAAGATAGCTATCTCAAACCAATTGTTCGGTAACCCAAATATATAAATAGAGTCATTATAAAATTTAATAAATTTTTATTCGAACAAATTGTAAATACATACGCAAACTGTGACAAAGGTTGTAAAATCTAAGACTCAATAATAATCTTGTCGTCATGAAGTTAAAAACAGTAAAAGATCTCGAAAATGGTTACCGGTTAGTTCATTATGCAGAAATACCACAAATTTGTTTTAGAAAGAATGGCCACCACTAAACCGTAACCTAAATAGTCTTTTAGTCGAGGATCCAAACTTTACACTAATATACAGAGATGAAATGAATACTATAAGTTCAGTAAAGTGCAGACAAATACGAGCTCGCACTACAACTTGATAAGAGTTTACATATATATTCCAGAAGACACTGCAGTCTTCAATAGAACCTATCCAGATTTTACAGCATTATTATTACTATTGCCTTTATTCAATATTATATTTTGGTACAATATAGAATTCTCAGAACAGGGTATTTCAACAAGTTTCTTACACAAAAAAAACAAAAAACAGAAACAAAGACAAAAAAGCAGAAAAAGGTTTAAAAAAATCCGAAAAACTGTGTAACTTTCCAAATTCAAGACATGTTAAGAGTGTAGGTTATTGACTAGGTTAACTCGAACAACTTGTTCGTCACAGAGTATATTTGCTAGGTAAGGTATTATAGAACTTTATACTTTTCCTTGCGTGCAAGGATTTTAATGTAATTACTTCTCGTTCCACCAGAAGATATACAAGGAGAAAGATAAGAGTGAAGGGGATGACTAGTATCTGATAAAATAATACCTGCCAGGAGTTTGCATGATTTTAAATGTCTATCCACAACCATATTAATTATGACCTCGAAAGATTCACCACACGTCTTACTAACTGCCTTTAGTACTCTTCGCAATACAGCAAAGTCTTTTCTCAAAAGCCCGGGAAAGAATAATGGAGAACAGTAAAGAATAATAGGTAGTATGCAAGAATTGACAAATTGTAAGAGAAAATGACGAGTAATTCCAAGAGCATGCAATCTCTTTATGTAGTAGGTCAGACGGAAAACCTTCTTTGATAACGATAAAACGTGGGAAGACCAAGACAGATCAGAGGAAAAGGTGACACCAAGATAATTGACCTTCGACACCGCGTTTATCAAAGAGTTCCCGATCGTACAAGCACTATGGGATCTCAAAATAGTGTTTATATTCCGTTCATGTCTCATACTAAAGTTAACAGCTTGACATTTAGATGGATTAAGTATGAGACCATTACCAACAGACCAACAATCAATACGAGACAAAAACCCATTCATTTCTATGGGATGTAAAGAGGAAGAGATAGGCATACATACGGTGAGATCATCCGCATATTTCACAAAAGTGTTTTCTGTGGAAGATGGCAGATCATGCAGAAAAAAAGAGGAAAGAAGAGGTGAAAGAACAGCTCCTTGTGGTACACCTTCATGAGACAGTAGAGACTCTGAACACTTTCCTCCAAACACAGTGTACTGTTCCCTTCCAGAGAGGTAGGAACATAGCCAGTTGGTTATCCAGCTGTCAGTGTTGACGCTGATTAACTTGTTAAGTAAACGTTGTCTTGGTATAGAGTCAAAAGCTGAAGTATAGTCCAGAAAAGCACATCGAACATACTTCTTACCCTTTTCTAATTTGAACACTATATTGTGATGCAGAACAGAAAAGGCATGTAAGGTGCTTCATTTCCATCTGTAGGCAAACTGATACGGATCAATATGCTCTCTTATCGCAGGCTGAAGTGGAAGTATTAATAATTTTTCAATGGTTTTGAGGAAGGGTGAAGTTATTGCAATACGTCTAAATTTCACATTCTTATCACCAGATACTTTCTTGGGTACAGGGATTATCTTCATTTTTCTCCACATTTTCGGTATGGGATTAGATGAGAAGGATCGGTTAAAGATAGTCGTGAATGGATAACATAGGACGTCAGCACATTTTTTAAAAAGGAGGTTTGGGATATCATCAGATCCTAAACATCGGAGACATCTTCGGACGAGTTATATTAAATAAGTTATGAAAGATGACAAAAACTTGTGATTAAAATGAAGAACTTTTAACAAAAAACGAATTTTACAAAATCGAAAATAATGTCAGAACGAAAAAACGCAAATAATAGGCTAATAATTAATAAAAGTAAAAATACGCTATATAGAAATCTACAGAAATTTATTATTCTTAACATGCAAAAGAAAATTTTAGATTATCACTATAGGGTTGTGGAGATTGTTGAGTTTTAATTGAGATCATGAAATAATCAATTTTAGATCACCACTAGAAACTTGGAAGCACTAGACAACCGTCTCATCCTAGTATGGGACTCATCAGCAGCTCGCACACACGATCCTGCACACGGGACTCAAACCTAGGATCTTCGTTTTTGCACGAAAGTTAAACCTCTAGACAAATGAGTTGACATTCAACGGTGCTAATGTATAACTTCGACGAGTCCACAATATTGCGCCACCATCCTCCATTGTCTTCGGCGAGTATCTGGCTCATACCTGATGGTCGCACAATATCATGGATTAGTTGAAATTAGACATTAACACCATAGGATGCCGGCGCACTGGTCAGAAGTTTGGGCGTCCGCATCCGAGACTGAAGGTCCTAGGTTCGATTCTCGTATGGGGATCGTCCGTGCGCGCTACTAAGGAGTTCCATACTAGGACGAAAAGACCGGTCAATGCATCCAAGTTTCTGATGGTGATCTAACATTGACCGGTTCATGATCTTAATCTTAGATTATATTAAATGTAAAAGTTTGCACAATAAAATATGAAAATCGATAACGTAATACATAGGGATAACAAGTAGATGAAGAAGTCAGTATTCGTAATCTGTTTAGTACAGCAATCTGAAATACAGGAAACTAAAATATTTATTACTGTTTAGTGACCTTAAACTATCTTTCTAGCAAAATCATAAGTAAGATCATAAAAAAATTGGAAAATGTGGGACATATGTAGTATTCATATTTAATAATCTCACAAAGATATTAAGCTCACTTTCCATTGATTATAATTATTTAACGAAAAGATAAATATGTACATCGACTGACTGAACTGAATAATTTTTTTGTAACCAAAGCAGTTCAAAGAATAACTGTTTCTTTCATATACACTTGCTATGTGAATGAATTGCGTAAATACATTGAATTCTTAATTTTAATCACTATCATCCTTTTTTCTAGAATCACATTTGAAAGTATTTTCAATAAAGAGATTAATATCTGACTATTACCTACATAATTTTTGTATTGTAAATTTCATACTCATATCCCAAACAAGAATTTTGAAAACAAAAACGTGTATTTTACTCTAAGTATGAGAGTTTTTGACCAATCACTATATAACTAATTTAAAACACAAATTTCTATACATAAGTATGAAATGAAAGTTAATTTTTGAGTCGTTAGAATTTAAAACAAATTCATCGTAATTAATTCAATCCTGAGAGTAATAAAAAAACTATGGAAAGGTGTTTGAGAATTCTAGAAAGAATATACGATAATTAACTATTTAAGTATTTTTAACCAATGATGGTAACATTTAAAATGTACTCCAACTACAGTGGATTTGAACCGATGTTACTCTTTAATCATAGTGTCCAACACATAACGTATTTATTTTATTCTAATGTGGATAAGTAAGTATATATCTTGAAGAATGTTTAATATATAAGGAAGTGAATAAAGTTGTCAAATTAGTGCTGACTCCTTACAGAGCTAACTCCGTCTGGAGTCCCTCCGGGGGCTACTGCCGATCCCAAGCACGGACCAAAGAGGAGGGTTGGGTATAGGGTTAACAACCCCATCCCGTAGGAAACTAACTCGCTGAAAAAACGCTAACCAAAAAAAATTATTTAAACTTTGCAGAGTTAAGTAATAATTTAATCGAATATCCTTCAACCGTTAATAAAGGTTGAATAAGACTTTAGTCGCTTAACATTGAGTTCATCTTATGTTGGATTATATGATAAACTTACTTAACCTGGAAAACTAAGAAATTGAACAACTGCTTAATTATAAACCAGGACCTTTTTATATGTTCCACCCGATATCTCACTCCAAGGATCAAATTCAAGATATTAATGCCTCGTTGTGACCATAAGACAATCAAACCATTGAGTTTTGATATAATGATTCACATTTGTAACGTGAGCCAGTTGTCTATGTTAAGCAACTATTATTCAATAGCGCACTGATATTCCTTGCATGGTTAGCTTTCATCAGTCATACTTTCTTACACAAACTTGAAGAATTTTTCTGAGAGCTACCCACTAATGGGCAATGAATTCTTAAAGATTCATTTATGTGTAACTAAAATTGCTGAATGAAAACTGACTTAAAGTTTAATAACTTTCACAAATCCATGTAGTGGAAATGTCATTAGTAATGTTCTTAGAAATGAATACGCAACAGAGTTGGTATTTAGTATAAAAAACAGTTTCATATCAAAGTACTAATGTTAGTTAAATATATGAAATTAGATGTCATTTGAGTAGTTTTTTATATCGGTAAATCATTTATAATTATCGGTTAATTAAAACTAATTACACACAAATAGTGAGGGCATGTTAAGCGTAAACCATTAAGTTAAAGGTAATATCGATTAGGATTGTTAGAACTGTTAGCTACAAATTTAGTGTTAATAGAAATAATTATTCTTTGAAAGTCTAGAATATGTATATTCTAACTTGACCTACCTTGATGTTGTTGTTTTGATGGACTAGCTGAAGGAGATTCTGCTTTTGAGATTTAATAAAATATATACTATTATAGTATCTGATCATTAAAGATTATTGATTTATTATAACTGATTATACAATGGAAAATTTCAGTTAAAGCGAGTAAACTGTTTGGATGTTATAGACTAAAGATACTAAAATTAACAAGAAAACATTGTCCAATTCTTTGTACTTTCTAAAATATATCTTCTCAATATTAAATCGGTTATGAAAATTAGTTATAAATAAATAAGGTTTTATTAAATTGATTATTAAAGTAACAAATGATTCATAATTTGTCCTATTTCCATCAAAAGAACATGAACTGTATTGTTTACATTAATCTTATTGATTAACGTTTGTCATTCTTCTATTTAACTGATTTTTTCTGGTCTAAAATTAAATGTAGTAAATGAGGTATGATAATTGGTTTGATAGTCAACAATTTCAGTGACTCTTCTAATGATAACGCGATATCGAGGTCGTACTTCATTAATATATTTGACAGCAAGAAATACATTTTATGTGAAGTTCAAACCAAACTCAGGAAACTATTAAATTCTAATTATCAATCTTTTGATGTTCAAAACCCGCTTATGATAGTTTCAATTTCACTTGATAACGTATTATAGCTTGAACTAGTGATAGACGTTGATATGAATAAAAATGTAAAACGTTTGTCTTTGAATACGATAAATAATGAGGAACAGACAAGATGACTTGAGTGAACCACTAAAATAAATTGATAAAGTAATTTAAAAGATTAATAAATAAATTACATCGATTGCAAAAGGTATTTCTGATTAATACAATTAAGACACTGAACAAAAAGCGTCTGTAGAATATTTCACTTACTGTACTGAATCGGCTTTCTTTGAGTTTGTACTCGCTTAATTGGAGGCTGTTGTCGTGGAATCCATTCTGAACTAGGTTCTCTTGAATATGCATCGAATGATTTACTTGTAAAATGATATTTTCGCGTACTAAAAGCTGTTGTAAGATTAGATCTTTGGGGTCCTGGTGTATCACGTAAACTAATCATCCATAGTAAAATAAATTAAGCCAAAGTTTAAAAGGTTATGATTGGTTTATGCCTAACATACCACGACATAATAAAAAGATAATTTGAAAATTTTTCTATAATGAATTCACAGAAAACACTAATAATTCATTGTTTGTTAATTATTTATTGGAATCGTGTACATATTCATCCTATTTTTCACTGGAAATGGGAGTTGTCTACATTTACAAATATTACTCAGTTATTTGTTATAAAATTTTAGGGATCAATAACAAAAGGGTCGGTACTCACTAATCTAACCCATCAAATAATTGCTTGTAACTTAACTGACTGAATCTACTGAGAAAATTTATTGAATGTACCAGTTTTTGAGACATAACTCGCATCTCAAACCGCAGTGAATTTTAACAGAGATTAAATTTTATGGTAGCTAAGGGAACCTACGTGTAATCAAGCTTCACACTGCTTATGGTAATGTCAGAAGCTGGCTGAATACTGAAATCTATCTATTCTAACAAAAAACTACAGTTATTTATCATGTTCATCAATGTGCATTAAAAGGCGAGTAACAGCTCATATTTATGCATTTAACATAATATATGTTTGTTTGAAGAAAATATAAATGACATAAAACAGTAACTTTAATTAAAATTTACCTGGTGGATTATATTTTACATAATCGATTAACTAGGATTGTTAACTTATTTATGGAGATCTAATAATAGCTAATGTCACATTCGAACGAAGAATAAATGAATGGTAACTGCTAGGGATTATTTATGAACTATTATTACATACATTCCTATTGGATAACTTTTAAGTAACTATATTATATATATATATTCGTATTCCTTCTATCATAAGCTTTCTTTGACCTATTGGCTATTATTATACAATTTACTATTCTTAAGTTATTCCTAATCTATTAGTTAGAGTATATCACACTCAGAAATTTCGGCTTGATCTTGTATAATTTTTATAGGTTGTTGTGGTCTCGTTTGCTTGCATATAAACTACGTATGTTTGAAATATATTATTCATACAATGGAGGCTGGGATGGTGCTCTGGACTAGGCAAGAAGAAAGAAGAAAGAATCAGAGTTGATGCAAGGCTGTTATTGTTGGTCGAAGTGCCATTGTCACGTGATAATTGACAGGGGCAAAAGCCTTAACAACTAGTATATTAACATGTTGGAAAGAAATCGTAAGGTCAGTCAAGTTGTTGCATCAGTCCATAAGGTCATGCGGTATAATTTTGAATTAAATGAAGATGAAGGGATTTTCTTGTTCGAATCTAAGGTACAGTTGTAATCAGTATAGACATGGCTTAAAATCGATTACAGTGACGAAAATGTACGAGTTTTTTATTTTCATTATGTATTATGCATTGCTTCACAATATTTATACTTCAGCTTCACTGTTATTTTCAAACTGTTTTTTCTACCTAATATCTTAAGTATGATTAGCAATGCTATTATTTCAGTTGCTTTGTTATAATTTTTCTTAATGTCTCGCCGTGTTGTTGTGGCATAGTAACTTGATTTGATACACATCAGTTTCAGGTCTTATGGATGTCTAATTTGTTACTTTATTAGCTTTTTGAAAAGAGAATAATACACCATATGTTGTGGAGAACTTTCGACTTATTTACTAGTTAGGAATTCTATGTTACATGGAGCTGTTTTTTCTCTTATGATCTTTGTTTCCTCATACGATTGGCTCTTTTCCACTGAAAACACCTTTTTAAGTATGTGAATTACCTGGGAACACAGACTTCAATTTGTTCTGTTTAAATTACTTTATAAGTAAATAGTACCCAAGGGACGTTTCACCATGTTATGAATGGTCTTACTTGTAATCTTCCTGAATATCAAACTATCAACTTTAAATTTAACCTTAAAAAGGTGATGATAGCTTGATGTAGTCAAACGTCTCCATAATTCATATTTTCTTTTAAAAGCATAACATATCATATTCATAAGATCTCACTTAGTCTTAGTACTTTTGTTAATAACTCATCATTCAAAAAGGCTCTAATCTTGGTCTTACCTAAAATTTACTTTTTATACTTTAATAATTCTAAATGAATGCATATGCTTCTTTATCATTCCGTATCATTCTTTATCATATCCTTAGAAATAAAACTATACTATTTAGCATAAAATACTGAGGAATACTGGTGAAATTTACAGATGAGTATAGTTGTGAATAAACATTTGAAACCTTATCTATAACAACCCTATGTGATTTATTCAAATAAACGTCATTTGACTGATTCGCAAGGTTCTTTTCATTTATTCTTCGGTAAGACTAATCATAATTTTATTACAGTCTACGCATAGTAGAGAAATACAAGAGTCCCACAATACATTACGTATAGGAAACAATGAACACTTCAAAAGTCAGACTTGACACCAAAACTTTTGGGATTACATGTAAAACGTGTATGATAACTGTTATATCTACTATTTAATTTTTTTCAAATTGTATGTCAAGACTTGTCCATTGAATGGAAATATTCAATAGCTAATAAAAATACAAAAATTTTTATTTCAACTAACATGATGGGATATATGTCAGATCAAAATAACCAGACCACAATAATTCTGGCAGTACATGAATCCTGCACTTTAGTGTTTGCTGTAAAAAATAGTTGAATTCACTGTGAACCACTTACCATGAACTTAATCGCTTATGTAGTTTGTCAAAGTTTTCATTTTATTTTACTCATTTTCAAATTACAAACAACCATGTATATTTCCGACTAACTTGCAACTACTAGAGTTAACAATTATCTTTATTTGAGATTATGAACCAATCAATGTTAGATCACCATTGGAAACTTGAAAGCATTGGACGGTCGTTTCGTCCTAGTATAGGATTTATCACTAATGCATATCCACGATACCCGATGAGTGACTCAAACCCATGACCTCTGATCTCGCGTGCGGATGCTTAACCTCCCGACCACTGCGACGGCATCCAACGGGTTCAAGCCCCGCGTGAGGATCGCGGATGCGCACTGCCGAGTAATTCCATCTCGGACGAAACGGTCGTCCAATGCTTCCAAGTTTCCGATGGTTGTGTAGTGTCAGCTACCATGTCAAGCCCACATAACGTATTCTAGCTTCCAGGCAAGCCAATTTATTCATCCATCTTGAGTCACATTTTGACAATGTTAATTGCTCGATTATCAACCTTGACTGTTTTTATATGAGCGTATGTGTGTGTACTTCTTATCCTATTCATCACACGTCTGTAACTTATTTTTATCTGACCATAAATATCGATTAACGCTTGGTTAAATAAGGTTGGCTCACTCGCCTTCTCCATTGCGCATCGTTTTGTTTTACTTCGCTTTCTGACCAAAAATCCATTCTCGTATTTGACCTATCTAATTACATTATACACTAACGCGGGTTAAGTCAATAATTATATACGAGGATTGGTAACATGTATATTTCAATAAAAATCAACATACGATCTAACTGGAGTCAGATATCGGGCCACTAAAGTGGTCTAACATTGATCGGTTCATAATCTCAATTAAAACTCAACAATCTCCACAACCCTATACTGTTAACAATTATCCGTTCGATTAAATACTGACGAACTGTTAAGTTTAGTTTCATTAAATTGTGATTATAAATAGTGAATATCTTATTGAGTCTTTTAATAAGAAAACCTATCTAGTACTCAAAATAATCATCTCGGTTGAATAACTATTGTGATTTGGTTATTTGAGAAAAACATAAAAAGGATAAATAAAAATGTGTTGTAAATTAATCTACTAAAGATGATTGGTTGAGAAACTAAAATTTACGGCTAATTACATTTGATCAATAAATTTTTTTAATAAAAAAAATGACTTATTGTCTCGCCTACGCCCTTAAGTTTACTTGATATTGTTGATTAAAGTAATTTATCCCTTAGGATGATGTAATAACTATCCATTTACCTAAATCATGGTTGGTTTCGGTGTTTATTTGGTGCATAATGTGTTCTCTCCTAAGCAAGGGCCCTAAAACCGTTTTACCAATTCTGATTAAAGTGATTATTAACATAATAATGTATATATAAATGTATAATGAGTATGAGTAAGAAAACATCCTAATAAGACAACATTTAAATTTTTACATACCGGAAAAATGCATGTTGCGAAGTACAAGAATCCCATAATCTTTTGGCCAAACGGGGATCTGTACACTGAAAAGTCAGTGTTACATCATGAATGGACTCAGAACCATTGAACTTTTTATCAGATACTTTCAAACCACCAGGTGATAATGTTCTTCTTAGAGTTCCACGTTTACTCAAAGTTTCACTATGCATTGATCTAACGACAATAATGAAATTTTTTGATTTGTACAATATTTTTACAATTTGAGGCCACAAAAACCGATTAACCCTTAACATCCCATGATAAAGTAATATTCCACCATGATATACACCTAAACATATACTTTCGCCCGCAATCGTCTGTAAAATAGGTGAAGAATATTAAAAATCGCTAATATAACTTCTATCATCATGAGTTTTCTATCGAAATGTAAAAAAAAACTGGATATATTTTGTGCTTAGTTTTAAATAGAATGTACCAAGTGACATAACTTTTTACCTATGGTTAAACCCTAAATTTCTCAATGAAATTATTTTCCTGTCACTTCAGTTGCCATGACAACAATGTTTAATGACAACAACAATACGAGAAGGGATTAGATAGAGATAAGACTAACCTTGTACTCATTAAATCCTATTTTTTGACAAATAAGTAATACAACAAGACTATTTAACTGCAATTTCTTTCATCAATAGTAAATTGGCAATCTGAGTAATTAAAATACACAACTAATGCAAGAATGAAATATGAAATCATTTCTTCGCATCACTTCTCAATAAAACAAGGTAATAAAACTTGTCATAATACTTGCAACATGTAAGTAGTTATTTACTGTATGATCTAAATGAAAAGTAAAAACAGAAGGTATTGTTTAGCATTATCGTCTTGATTATAGAACTCTGTGAAAAGTTCCGACGAAAGACGAAACAGACACTCCACACACCACAAACAGTGTTTTATGAAGTTATCATCGTTTAATTAAAATTTGGTACTATCGGCAAAATAAATAACAAAGTTACACAAGGTTACCAACCAATAAATGAAAAGGAAAGCAATTAGTAAACTGGTTATTAAAATATAAACAGAAATAGGTTTATGATCAGGAAGTTACAATGACTTAAAATATGGTATCGTAGTAACTAATAAAACCAATCTCTGTCGTAGACTGTAGTAGTCAAAGTGCATTTTACATGTAAATTTACAACTTTAAAATTAGAATTTGGAAGAATAGTTCAGTTATTTTCATATTGTTACGATAATTTTTTAACAAATGTGAAATCAAGACTGCTAGTTATAACTGCTTTTTTAAAGGAATTTCATCAGATATTCAGTTTCATTAACTGATTGCCTACTTCAATAGCAATATATTGTGTTGTTTAGCATGATCATTGATAAGGAAAATATATGAGAATTGTTTATCAATGAGTGAACACTGTGAAGCTACAAAATATGTAATATTTTCATTATTTACTGGGTGAAAAATCGAATGGTCAACAGAATTAGATCTAATAATCGGTATTTGGTAATTCATATCGTCACTTGAGACACTAAAGACTAATGCTATAAAGACTTATTCATATGGCTTTCACTATTACTCATTACCAGCATATTTGCTTGGAAATAAGAAGTCGAGTCCATGAAAGTGAAACGATGACAAATATTACTAGACGATCATAGTGAAATAAACTAAATTTCTATAAGATGAAGTTACATAGCATAAGCCTTAACATAAGAGTTAGATATAAGTGTATGGGATGTTAGAATTTCTTGAGCTGTTTGGAAAAAGAAAAATACTTACAACTTTTCAAATCATGATAAGTAACCAGGAAAGTGGACAAGTACACTTAGCAAATCTAAATATTAACTGTATGACAATGTAGTACAAACATAATGAATAATGTTCTTACCTTCATGGTTGTAAAAATAATGATAGGAGTAAAATGCTAGACTTACTTTTGCCCTGTGAAACTCAACTCCATAAAGTGAAAGTCGTCTGGCATTTTCCAAAAATCCTCGATCAGCCTGAACTAAACTTTGTCCTCTATAAATCATAGAATATATTGAAATAAATATATTCATTCTCTAATTTTGTTATTGTTGGGTTTAATAAATTGTGCTAAACAAAATTATTTATGTAAATGTCTATTATAATCCGTCGCATTAGTAAAAATATGAGTTAAATAATTCGACTCAAAAAATCATATATGTTAATGTTTATCACTACTATAGTGATATATGCTACCGATGTTGACAGATATAACTAGTGTGTATCATCAATTGAAAGTGAAGTGCATGGAGGTTCAAAAGATCGAAGAAACGCGAACGAGAACAGAGAATGATTGGTGTGGAAACGAAAGAAAAATGAAGTCTGAGATGACTGATTGACATTTTACAAATGAATCATTTACTGTATGGTTCATAGATTTTACTGAGAGATTCTATAATTTTGTATTCAAATACATTCGACTGTCCTCACTTATGTTCTCGTTCACTATACTATGTTTAAGAACTGTTAACATAATTCGTTCATCTTGGGTCTACTAATCACCCTAAAGGGTTGTAAGGTATCTACCTGATGTCCTGTATCAAGGAGATGTTTGGTGACCGCACTGTTCAGAGAAGTAAGCAGCCAAACTCCAGTCTTCTGAAGTTTGCTGAAGCCATTGCCATCAGGCGACAAAAACCTGACCTATGTATTCAAAAGGAGACGGTGGTTAATCTTTCCTTACCCTGGTGACAAATATTCCTTCACTGAACCTTAAAATTTTTTTCTTTTTTTCCCCCCTTTTTTCTGTCGCATTTATTACATCATTGGTTCTAATTTATTTTTTCAACTATCTTTCAAATTAATAATCTTTCAACTGAACTCTAATCACTATATTCCTATCAATGTTTATTCATTATGTAATCAATTGTTTCTAACCCACTTTTGAACTGATGTCACAATTAATGTTGTAGAATATTCTTTCACATTAGGTATATATTTACAATATTCTGTAAGCGATTTAAATCCATTATGCAATTATGATTTTTAAATATCACAGGTTGTAAGCAGCTGACGAGAACCTACGAAATAAAATGAATTCATGCTATTCTGCTAGAATCTTTGTTCTTGCTCTTTTCATCACATAGATATTCATAATTTTAAATCGTAATAATATTTTTGAATATTTTGTTTAAAAATAAACCATTTTCTCCAGTTGACTTCTGGTAAATTACATCTTCGAAAACCTAACTACTTATACATGATGGAGAATAAATCAAATTAAGCAATTAGTTGGTATAAGTAGATAAATCATCTCCTTTTCCACAACTATTCAATAACAACAAAGCTGATACTTGTATCCTTTTCTTTATCTACAAATGATTTTATCACATTATTTGTCACCACAAATTCCGTCTAATGTAGTCTTTTAAGTTTCAATATGAACTTTCTCTCAATAATTAGTTGTTGTTTTTTTTAATCCAATGAAACAAAAACCAATCACTTCGACTACTAGTTAAGGACGTTAGCAATGTCTAGTATGTTTGATTAGTAAATTTATTTAAACCTGCTAATTACTAAGCTTTACTAATATTTAACCATAAACTAGAACATTATAACAATTAGTTTATGAATTAACCATATCGATGAATCTAATGTTCATTACAGATTCCAACATCTATTTAATTAGTAATTTAAAAAAAGATCCTTCATCATTTATGTTTTCAAATTCAAACAAAATAAGGTATAACTTTGTTTCCTAGTTAAAAATTTTCTCAAATTAATACGCCCTTAAGATTTCTGGCAACTTTTTGTTGTTGTTGTTGACATTTTCAGTTGTTTTCTATTTGTCTGTCTTAATTTTAGGCAATAATGCTTCATTTATGATATGGTGAGTTGTTTATTTATCAATTATTGTAAATGAATTGTATTGCTCTATTTGTGGGATGAATAAATTTTTAATAAAGTGGAATGAAGAAAAAAAAATAAAAAGTTTTATGTAAATCAATATCTGCTTCCTAAAGATAAAGACTTCATCTCTATTAGACTTTTGAAGAAAAAAGTATTAACAGACCGGGATACTCAAAAATGAAGAATATTTAAGTGAATAATTGTTTTCAATAATTTCATCATCAAGTTCTACAGTTATAAGTTCATAATGATGATATTTTACAAAGACCAAAAATAAGCCATGTATCAATGAATTTGACAATGTTCTGTGTTGAAAATGGTGAACGTTTGCATCTGTTACGATATATATATATGCTTCAAAATAGTGTTATTTGCAAATTAGAAAAATCATTTAATTAAGGTCAGAATGATTTGGAGTAAAGTGTTCAGTCACAATCAGTAGAATAGTAATATAGCAAAATTGAAAATGCAAAAAAAATTGTGTGAATAAAATGTATAGTAGGAGAATTTCATCTTGCCAATTGAGATAATAATGATAATAGCAACAGTAATAATAATAATATTGTTCTTTGAATATAATATGGAGTAAGAGGGGTGTTATCAAGATATTTACGATGAACAAAAACGGGAACCATGTGAATTCGGAATGATGAATGTGCAGATTAAGGTAGATGTAATCAAAAAAAGGAAAGGGGTAATAGGTTTATAATATTCAGTTTAGGTATCCAGTGATTTAGACGTAGGCCAAGGTAAACATAGAAACTGGATATACCTTTTCTGGATACATAAGTTTGGTTTTCTGAAATTGATTTGGATGGCTTCGTCGATGTAGTGTAATCGTAATCTAGCTCCTTGAGGTAGATATTTTGTAAATTGATATAAGACAGAGAAAGCTTCATCTATTTTGATAGGATGTTTTCTATCTACCATGTAAGAAAGATAGTGCTGCTGGTTGATTTAATGACTCATTTGCCCAACCATCCTGGTACATGTTCACGAACACTCAAGGATAAAGCCCTCTAAGCACGGCCAATGTAACTACCTTCACAGGAGCACCTGAATTGGTATACATACATAGAGGAGCCTATCATCGGTAACCTATCCTTGATTTGTTGTGTGACTACTGGTTTAGTTGAGAAAGTTATATGTAGCTTGGCGGCGTGAAACGTCCTTTCAACAGATCTTTTGAGTCGACGTGTTAAAATATCACCCGCTATGTCCCATTTAAAGTACAGTCTCAGATATAGGGATTTTTTTACTGACTGAGTCACAATTTCTTCTTTTTTCACATTTTCAATTTTGCTATATTACTATTCTACTGATTGTGACTGAACACTTTACTCCAAATCATTCTGACCTTAATTAAATGATTTTTCTAATTTGCAAATAACACTATTTTGAAGTATATATATATATCGTAACAGATGCAAACGTTCACCAATTTTAACACAACATTGTCAAATTCATTAATACATGGCTTATTTTGGCCTTTGTAAAATATCATCATTATGAACTTACAACTATAGAACCTGATGATGAAGTTATTGAAAACAATTATTCACTCAAATATTCTTCGTTTCTGAATATACTATGAGGATTTTTAAACTGCTGAGATCGGGATACTTTCAAAGTACATATTTATACATTATACACATTAGAGTGTAAATATTTGTCTAGTGACAGTTGAGTCCATAACAAAAAAATACCCCAGAATAAATATGTCTTTACTCATATTGAACATTTCTGTCTAAAAATTTCTAGTTTTCAACAACCCTCTAAAATCTCACTACTAATTTACATAAGCAGTGAAATATAAAATGGACTGCTTGTTACTTTATCTACAAGTTGGTAAAGCTAGTAATTCTATTTTTTTCTTCTAAACCACATGTATATCCTACATCAAACTTCCTTAATATTAGAGAAATATGAAATATATATCACTAGATAATCGTCTTTTATATAATTAACAATTTTAAGAACATAAAACATGCCTACTCACTTATGAAGTTTATGTAATTCAACAATTTGTTGAAGCATTTTTGTAGTTTGTAATTGTTGTGGTGCGAATGGAATATTGGCAATATATTCTGTTCCTATATGTGTATTTGGATCATAATCTCCAGCATCTGATTGAACAACATATGCACCAAGAACAACATAAGTATGATGTGAACATGGAATCCTATTGAAAACAATAAATTCAAATAATTTAGTTTGTGACAATATTTTTGAAAAAACAAACAAACAAACTACTCCTCATAACTTGCATATTGTAAATTAGTGTAGAAAACAATAACATCATAATATATAACTCATTTTTTTATTTTTTTTATGTCAACACATAGATATTGGTACAAGGATGCACCAAATACATATGCGCCACACAAATCTCATTCGATATGTGTGAGGGCTGTGATACTGACCGGGTGCCCAAACCGAAACAGGTGGTTTTCTTAGGGGGCCACTCCCTGAGCCTTCGACCTGAAGGTCTGATCCACAAGGCAGTGAAGCATCGTAAGGAGATGCAGTCCCATGGAAGCCGGTGACCAACAATTGGTTCATACGCCATTTGTTCCCACAGGATACTGGAGCCCATGTGCACCATTGGTTTGAAATCCGGTTAAAGCGCCGGACATTCGCTTTTCGTCCTCTCGTTTTCGTAAACAACACCCCCGCCACAAGAAGGCTGTGAGTAGGTTTTCTCTGACAGAGGCTATATACGCGTTGCCATGTGAGTGCATTTGGAGAGGGAGAGCGGACTCTCCCCACTCTCGGCCATACCAGGGCATTTGGAGTCCTAGTCCTTTATTATTATTTTTAGTGGTTCAATGGATATTAACTGATTATTCAGCCATGCTTAAAACATCACTTGTTTTATAGATAGTTTCTTTACAAAATAATAAATAATCAAATACAATTTGGTCATTAATTTACATTTTGATTAGTTGAATAATAGAAACATTAAACTCTGTTTGGAAAACATTCATATTTTATATATTTTAAAATTGTTCTCCTTCTTTTTTTCAGTAACCTGTACTATAGTGACATTTTATGCAATCTCAATTTATAATATGCAATGAGTTTAATATTTATGGTGGAGTTTTGTTCTCTGAGCTGGATGGTTTGGTCTTGGAGCTTTCATCGTTCTTCTAAACGACATCATCAGCACAAACTTCAGATAGAAGTGAAGTGTTTGAATTTCTCCATTTGTGTTTCAAAGCTTGTTCTGTGCACCTCGATGTTGATTGGTTCTTATTAACCTTAAATTTGTCATTGTTTACTTCTTTGTTTTGGTTGTGTCTCCCATTGTTTTGATTTTTGTTCTTATGTTTGTGCATGATTTTTCTGATTGGTTGATAAATTGGATTGATTTCAATATGCTTGTTGAAAGCTCCACGACCAAACCATCCAGCTCAGAGAACAAAACTTCACCAAAATCATCCACCTGAGCTACAAATCTTCTCCACCATCTCAAAGTTTAATATTTATGTAATAAAATTTTATTTGAAATAGTCAATAAAAGTTCTCATTAAACTAGTACGTTATGCATATTTAACTTTTAATTTTCAAGGCTATAATCAACTTCTCCTTCACAGCAGATCCTATTTAAATTAACAATTTAATAATTAGTAATGAAGTAATCAATTACTCGGACATTTGTAAGCATATGAATCATAAATAGATAATATTGTTCGTACACATTAGGCCTCAGTGCCCTGTTATCTTTACGATGGTACATGATGATTATAATTGGATCAAAGTTTGAATCTTAGCGAAATAAAAATAATGGTATAATATTTAAAAACATATCCGTAAATTATATTTACTGCCCTACTGCTACTTGAACTGCCGAGAAAACATAAATAAACACACTACTCCACACTTTCCCTGACATTCGACAATATTTTATCTTTAGCTAGAAAGAATCCCAACATTTCAATTATTAGATATATCATAGATTAAAGTCATTGAAATATTCAACATAACTACACTTAAAATCTACAAAATTGAAATTTCAAAGGTGTTTAGTTTCACAAGCATCATGTACAGATAGATTTAAGTACAATTTTTATTTATGTTACATACAAATCGGTTATTCACATTCTTAGCCTACTGAAATTTAATTTAAATGTTTTCATGACTGATTAGATTTAACTAGACAACAACTGAAAATCATAAAACACTGGACAGTATCTTCATCGCAATCATGCACTTCTTAGCAATATGTATTCACTACTTTCAGGATTAAAATCCAGAGCAGTTATATCTCACGACTAATGTATTATCTTTACTACGCAGGATTAATAACAATTACTAAAATGATTGTCAGTTTAAGTCATTTCACAATTTTATGTAATTGTGATCCTTTATCAGACTGATATGATTGAATTCCACTGGTCACAGCCTCTCAATAGAACTTCAAAGTACTTTTCGGTGTTATTCCAATGGTTTCGGACTGTGTGAGTTTAGATATAGTAACTATAGTTTCATCACTCTAATAGATCTGCCTCATCATATCCAAAACGATACTAGTTTTTAATCAAACAACATGCTCCTTAGATGTTCTGAAATTATCTAGAATAAAAACATATTTATTGCAATTCAAGTGTATCATATTGTTTCGGTGAGTAAGTAGCACACCAACTATTCAAACTTTAATGTCACGTATCCATGATTTGTTTATTGGTAATCTTGACAGAACAATGAGAAGACGGAGTTGATCTGGTAATCACTTGAAAAAAATATGATATCCGTCTAATATTCCTTCCAAGTTAGGATTCATTAGTGAATATCTAGTCAACATTGTGAAATATAGATTATACACCTGGTAGTACTTTTTGAAATATCTCACATCTATAAGATTTCCCTTAAATATTGCCCAAGAAAATTAGTTGAACTTTGTAAAGAAAAGAATATAAATTTGTTTAGAATATGGAAACTGTATTGTATCATAAAAAAAGAAAAGAATTCAACAATTTTAGAAAATTATTTACTCACTGTCCAGAGATAATATCTTGCCTTAATTGTAAACACAAAAAATAACGCGTTAAATCATCTTTGAATATATCAATATTTGGTGGATAGAATCGAACACGAAATTCTAGTTTCCATGGTATTTCTTTATGTATAAATTAATATAAAATAAAAAAAGATAAATATATTACTATTTAAGGAATGAGTTAAACAAAATATGACTAATTAGATCAATATTTAATAGAAAATTTTTTACTTACTTTTAATAAGATGATATAATAACAAGTACAAATTTACAGATTTACATATTAATTAAACATTTTCCTAGATCAAACAATATCTAATACCTAAAAAGAAAATAGAATGAAAGTCTATGATACTTTCATTTCTATGTAATACAGTGAAGTTTACATTTTCGTTCGAGCTATTTAAGATACTTTTCAAAAAATCTATATACATTGTATTAAATGTTCAGTACACTAAAGCATTACTAATTTCTTTATTGAGATTTTAATAGAGAATATCAACTTTAAGAAATTTTGTGTTGTTATGGGTCTACTTCAGCAAGATTTGGGATAAAGAACAAGTACCAACAGAATGGAAAGAAGGACATCTGGTCAGAATATCAAAGAAAGGTGATCTCAGTAACTGTAATAACTACAGGGGCATCACTCTTCTCTCAATACCAGGAAAAGTCTTCAACACTGTATTGTTAAACAGGATGAAGAGCTCTGTAGACGCCCAACTTAGAGACCAACAGGCAGGATTCCGTAAGGATAGATCGTGTACAGACCGAATCGCAACACTACGGATCATTGTGGAACAATCAATTGAATGGAATTCATCACTCTACATCAACTTTATTGGCTACGAAAAAGCATTTGATAGCGTGGACAGGACAACAATATGGAAGCTTCTTCGACAGTCAATATCATACGAATTCCTACGATGGATTAAACTGAAAAATCGTGCATGGAGGACAGCTGATAGACTCGTTCGAAGTAAAGACCGGTGCCAAACAAGGTTGCTTACTCTCACCCTTTCTCTTTCTCCTGGTGATCGACTGAATCATGAAAACGTCAACATCTGGGGAGAAGCACGGGATACAATGAACAGCTAGGATGCAGCTGGACGATTTAGACTTCTCAGACGATCTGGCTCTTCTTTCGCACACTCAACAAAAAATGCAGAAGACGAACAGTGTAGCGACCGCCTCAGCAGCAGTAGGTCTCAACATACACAAAGGGAAAACAAAGATTCTCTGGTACAACATAGCATGCAACAATCGGATCACAATTGACGCAGAAGATTTAAAAGGTATAAAAACCTTTACATATGTGATCAGCGTCATTGATGAACACGGTGGATCTCATGCAGATGTGAAGGTGCTGATCGGAAAACCAAGAACAGCATATCTACAACTGAAGAACATATGGAACTCAAAACAACTGTCAGGATTTTCAATACAAATGTCAAAACAGTTCTACTGTATCGAACGGAAACCTCGAGAACTACCACAACCATCATCCACAAGATACAAGTGTTTCTTAACTGTTGCCTACGCAAAATACTTCGCATCCGTTGGCCAGACATTATTAGTAACAACCGACTGTGGGAGAGAACAAACCAGATCTCAGCAGAGGAAGAAATCAGGAAGATGCATTGGAAGTGGATAGGACACCCATTGAGGAAAGCACCGAACTGTGTCACAAGGCAAGCCCTCACATGAAATTTTGAAGGCCAAAGGAGGAGTGGAAGACCAAAGAACACATTACTCCGGGAAATGGAGATAAACATGAGGAAAATGAACAATAGTTGGATGGAACTAGAAGAGAACGCCCAGAACGTAGTGGGTTGGAGAATGCTGATCGGTGGCCTATACTCCATTGGGAGTAACAGGCGTAAGTAAGTAAATGGGTTTACTTCATCCTAATTCATTATAATTATGTAATTATCAAACTCTTCCGGGAGAGCTTCTACGAATTTCGTAGACCTCAAACACGAATAAAAGAGTGGGATCAGATGTAGATTTAGGAACTCTATCCAATGAAGAGAATCATGATAAGAATATGCAAAAACGCTATGTGCTTATCAAATCTTTCTGTTCTTATTTTAATAAACACTTACTAAGTATAAATGGTAGTCCCAAAAACCATGATAGATGATAATAAAACTAAAGCTTGAATTTTATTTAACACTAATTTTAGAAACAAAGTGAATACTATGTCAATTCTTCCCTAACTATAATGGTTCAACTTTAAAGTCTAAGTTACCTCATTTTATCAATAAATGATAATCTTTATACATAACATAATCGTAACGATTGATCATCACTATTGTGAAAGTAGTTTTGGATTATAAAACTATGAATTTGTTCATTGTGAGTTAGAAACGGTAATTGAAATCATACGATATTTTAAATTACAAGCTATTTAAACAAAGAAATCAAAATATTTATTCGTTTTGTATTTCTTTATTAATAATGACTGAGAAAACAAGTAAGATTGAACAATGCAAATATGTAGCGAACGAAAAAGTATTATTCAATTAACTTGACAGAGAAATTTAGTTAACATGCGAAAGTGAACGTTAGTTTGAGTTATTAGACAAACTTTATTGATATTTTATGGCAAAACACAATAATCAGGTTGCTGTGAATTTAGTTTGATGGCTGTATCTACAAACTAAGCGAATGGCATAATGTTTCATATAGCCGTATGGTTATTAGCGCTACCAGTGAGTTAACTGGACTGTAACGTTTAGTAAATAAAACACAGTCTAACTCTTAGAACTAATAGAATTTCATAAATGTAATGCATAAAATATTTACTATTCTAAATCAGTCTGTCAGCTACAACGTAGGATTAAGCACATATACACATACATCCAGGTCGACACACTTCATTAACACAAGATGAACACAGAATTCATAGAAGTAGTTCATTCAGTGGAGATAATATATAAAAGAAAGATTGCATATCAGAACATAGTACAGGAAGAAAGAATTAGTTCGTAGAAAGAAAGATATGAAGTGATTTTATTCTAATAGTTTAAGGGAAGACAAAGAGTGCACACACTGACGTCATTGTGATCGATTCTGAGCCATGTCAACCAGTGTCTCCAACAATTGGTTGCGATAGTCACGCGGACCCCCTCCAGTGTCAACTTTGTTCACACTAATATAAATAAACAAAGATGACACTGGACTGCATTCAATTCATAAATATTCAGGATTATCAGTCATCAACTACATACTAAGATTTGTGTTTGATAAATCTATTTGAATGACAGGTAATATGACATTTTATTATTTATTTGCTAGTCGAACAAAACTAAATGTTTCGGTCATATATAAGTTATATGTAAGTTCAACAAAAAAATATTGATTAGGCAAATAATTATGATAATGGTTACAAAAACTCATTAAGACGAATTACGCGGAATGTGTATACTTAGGATTTATACATCTTAGGAAAATCGAAATTTTAATTTGACCCATGAATACCCCTTTTTCTATCATGGAGTTCATGTTCATATTATGCCGCTTATTTGCTGTCCTCTAGTTTGACGCGGTGATAATATATTCAGTTAAAACACTGTGACATATAATTATCGCGTCACTATTCATTTTAAATTTATCTTGTTATAGACTTATGTATAGAAAACGACTTACTACTCGAATGATATGTTTATGATTAGTTATTGTTTTCGAGTATTGATCTAGAATATTTTCATTGCTGATCACCACAGCTAATTATTAACACAATCAATTGACAGATGAATCTAAACGTCTCCTGACTGTTCACCTCTTCAGTATAGCACAGAAATCACCTTTTGCTGATATCATCATATAGTTTTCATTATCAATTGAAGTAGACTGAGGAACGTTTGAAATAGACCAACATTAAGCAGATGTTTAGTTCCATTCTGGTGTGTTTCATTACTTATCAACTATGATTCAACACGAGATAGACATCCAGACCCTTAAGTCTCACAAACATCACGATACAATGTACAATGTAAATGATTTAATCAAAATCCACTGGTCTAAATTGGTCAATTTTACCCAAACCTGAATCTAGAACAGTCCTCGTTAAATAATACAAACTAATTTTTTTACCTCACTCCTAACTTTACTGACACCATAGATAACAAATTTCTAGTAAAACGTTTATCTTTCAATTGACCAACAATTAGAAGACGATCGTAATTTAAATGGTTTACGAAATTTTATTAAATTCGAAAATTGTTTCCTATCAGTTGATATCCATTCGCTAAAAGATCAGCCATTTATATTCGTAATGCTAAGGAGTCTCATACTAGAACGAAACGACCGTTCAGTGATTCCAGATTTCCCATAGTGGTCTAGCTTGAATTGACTCATTAATTCAACTGTAAAGGTACTAAGATCTCCGCGAAACCTCCCCTTCTGATATTAAAACTCCATTTGACTATATTTGTAAAAAGTCAAAGAGTATTTAAGAAACTCAAAATGATCCTTGTATCATCTATTTTAATTTGCAAATGTAAAGCATTTGTTTAATTTAATTTAAATTAATCTTAACTATTTAAATGTAAATAGTAGGAACTAATTATTGTCTTTATAAAGTTAACTTTCCTTATAACAGAAATATGCTGATAGACTTGATATAATGAACTATCATCATACCTTTGATTTCATTATGTCTTAAAATAATAAAACCAGACATTTCTATCCTTTTAAACTAAATAGATAATCATTTAGCCTAAAAGATAGTAAAATACTGTATTCAGTTTATTATTATTTTTCCATTATATGTATATTTAAAAGCTAAATGAAAGCAAAAGCATCATTATTACCATTATTATTTGTTTAACCACTCACTTTCTAATTGTTTAGCTATACGTTTATCAAGTTTCAGCCAATTCTACAAGATAAAATAGATAAAAATTCAAGATTTAATTGACCACATAAACAGATGAGTAAACAAATAATTCATTATGAAGAAAAGAATTTACTTAATAAATATAAACAATACAATTGCATCTTTTCATTAATTATTATATCATCATAATTATCACAGAATAAATAATTATACTCTGTTTACATTAAATTTTAAACAAGTTTTATTAAATGAGTTGTTGGAAATTGATCTAATTCTTTAATAGCAATCTTAATATGAAATTCACTTGGTATTAATTACTTGGATCTTCTCATTAGCTAGAAGTGGAATCCATCTTTGCTTATAATACTTGTGAATTAAGGCAATATCAAGGCAATACGCGCAGTATGTACATATGTTAATAAGAGGTTGATCAATTGCAGTCCTAAATATTAATGGAAAGATTCAAGTAAACATCACCAAGTGAATCTAAACATTGCCCTATTGCACAAGCAAATGGCTATCAGCACTCAGTAACTAAATGGATAAGTTGATCGCGTTTGAAGCGAACGGTACCGGGTTCGAGTCCCAGAGTGAGCACCAACTCTGAGATGCAGGTACATCCAGCTGACGAGTCCCAAATAGGATGAAACGCTCGTCCTGAATTCCACTGCTAGCCACTATCCATCTTTGCTTCTAATCTCAATATTAGTTTACATGGAGCATTTTATATGTAATAAGCAAATAATTTCTATGTCATTGAAGTATGAATTTCTGAATTGAGAAATAATCTGAATTCCTATTGAATAAATTTGATTTTAAATGATTTAATAAAAATAATACAGTTTAGTCTGAACTGTGTGGACTTTAGGAGAAACTTTGTCAATATTATAACAAGATATTAGTCACGAAAAACTAGGTACTAACTTTTGAGGAATGCTCATGACAACACCATATTTTACAGATATAATGGGTATGTTAACAAATATGTAGTTATTTGTATATTGAAAATGGACTACTTATGAAGTTCGTGTATTCGGATTTTTTTATTAAATGACGATATCAGATGTAGAAAGTAGTATAATTCGTTTGTATTGATTCTTTGAATTTTCTCATTGACTGCAGTTGTTCAGTCTGTTTCGGCAAATATACATCCTGTGCGGATTGATTCAATATTGTCTAAAGTCACAAGCATTGTAAGTAGAGATCGACAGTGAGTAACAGTGGGATCCAGTATGGGCGTTTCGTTCTGTTTGGAACTGGTTAACTGGATAGACCTACATCCGAGTTCATGTTCACTCCGGGACTTGAACCCATTATCGTTCGCTTTAAAAGTCGTCGCGATCTTCACATAACTAACCCAGATACCCATTGCAATGTAGATTGGTGTGAAGTTCAATTCATTTGTATTGGCTATTTGTAACTTCACATTGGTTTTGAGGACTTCATCTCATTACATAAGCCAGTGACTATCTGAACTCAGTAGTTATTTGGATAAACAGATGACGTGTGAAGTGGACTATAGTGGGTTCGAGTCTCGGAGTGAACATGAACTCTAGCAAGCAGGCAAATTCGGCTGACGAATCCCAAATAAAGATCATGTCCAGTTCAGTATAGTTTAGTTATTGTGCTGTGGATAACAAACTTACTGGTAAATGGTTACCACTAGATGACAATAAAATCAACTCAAGTCAATCAGAAATGTTATATAATCAGAACAATATGATCCAGATGTTCGACTGTACCAAGATCTACAGAAGCGTATCAGTATCAATCCAGTTCAATCTCACTAGTGAACAGGATATAGATAATTGATAACACTTTATAAATTTCACAGATGCAACCGGATGGAATAACAATTCCTCATTTCAAAATGAATTTAGCTTTTCATAGCATACTCATAATACTTATAGGGTTTTTATAAAAGTTGTAAACAGCACATTTGTGTTCCCAGACGATATGAAGTTTCAATTAACTAAGAAAGGCATTTGTATGAACAGTGACAGCCGTAAAGTGAAAGTCATACTGATCAACGGTTTATACATATAATCCGACGTTATGAAGATATTTCAAAATGTTTAGTTTTACAAAAAGAAATAAATAAACGTGTAAAAGCTATTTTTGTGAATAGATCGTTCTAGGTATCTTTATAAAAAGGTTTCCCTGGAAAAATTCATGATAGTTAGCCAGAATTTTTTTTAAAATGTCCTTGCTGTAGAACTCCTTATGCGTCTGAAATACATATAATTTAATTAACATTATTTCACTGTTCATGTAATCATAATGGAAATATCGGTCAGATTTAAATGAAACTGTATTGTTTATATTCAGTTACCAGGATTCTTATGATGTATTCGTGTTTTGGAAATAAACTACTAATTTAAGTATATGGCTTAAGTGTGTCAATATACCCGAATATATATTGTAATCTATACTTAGATATCACAACCAATACATAGAGTCAAATATATAGTTCTAAAGAGAAATTCTTGGAATTTTATTTTGTTCTGTTAGTTAACTTTGAAACATAAATATAAATTTTTTTCGACAGGCACACAAAAGATTTGACTAAATATGACGAATTTAAAATACATAGAAACAAAACTTTGCTATAGCAAAGAAAGACATTTCAAAGATATTTCGAGGATATATGTGATTGTTTTTAGATAGCTTACGTTAGTATCAACTAAGTACTAGCAGGAACATTTAGGATTTATGGTTTTCATTCTCAGATTTTAATTAATGTTGTTATGTTGTCTTAATTTCAACAATGTATATATAGTAAAACAAATTGTTTATTAGTGTTTGCCAATATAAATGTGAGTAGGCATGTGCAATTATAAAAGACACAAATTGAAAACATATAGTATTTCAACTGAATCAGCTTATGATAGACCCATATACATGCTGATATTTGCAAGTGTCCTTCAATTAGACTATGGTCTAAGTAACATTGTAAATAGATGAGTATTGTATGTATATGAATCAATTATTTGGTTTTCATTGCATATAGCAGATAAAAAAGCACTAAAACTCATTTGCTGTTAGCTGAGAGTTTTCTATATAGCTACAGTATATTTTACAATGATCAGGTAGTACAAGCCAAATAATCACTGAAAATATGAAATTACATCACATTGACTATTGATCTGTTTTAGAAGTTAGAATTACAACTCTCAAAATCTATATTATCTACATATCTTTATTTATATATTATCAGCCTTTTTAGCAAATCATTTACATTAGAATAAATGAGATTCATTAAAATATTATACAGAAAGTCTTTACGTTGATTATTATACAAGTTGCTAGTTTTTCAGAATACCGTTCTAGCTTCAAAAGCAATCCAATGAGTATTGATGGTTGTTGATGTGACTTTAGGTTGGGATTAAAATTTGTCTTTTAGATGGTTTCCGTTAGAGCTTTTTAAGTGTTACTGATTTTTATCGAGAAATGTAAATCTTTGTGATGAAATTCTAGTTACAAATTTCACTTCACGACAAACTCTTAAAATGTTAGTTCAAAAATTATTTACACGATTAAATGAGATGGCTAACGACATATTACACTTGATTAGTTATTACCTTGCACTGATTACTCAAAATTTACTTCAATTGACACGAAGACCGGGTTTAATAGTAGGTCTGATTCTGAAACATGACTAATGATGGGTTATTCTTTGCATTGAACAACACAGTGTGACTAGCGTTTCTATGTAATGAATAGCCATCACATTAGTCAATCGGATTCATTTGGTGGCACAAATTTTCATTAAAATGTTTATAATATTTAGTTCACCTTAAATTAACATCAGGCAAATATTTTTAAATAAAAAGTTAAGTATTTCTTTGATATAAAGGTGTACTAGTGTTGGACTAAAGCTCCTTGTAGATTTTAATTCATTCAATCAAAATAGAAAAGCCCAACTGTGGCATACATTTCCAAAGAAACTCTACTATACAAATACGAATATTCAGATGTAACCGAATCAGCCCCCTTTCTCTATTTGTATACATATAACAATTTTCACCAAGAAACTTTAATTAGTGCCATCATGATCATTAAAAATGACCGAAAGATAAGTTCGTTTTCAAAATTCAACGGCACTTTCTTTCTGATGTGGAATTCGGTAAACGTATAGACAAATCTAACTGATAAAAACATCAAGTAATTACCAAACTTTCATAATATAAAATTAATTCCAAAAATAATTCACCATTGTAAGGTACATAATGACAAGCAAGCCTCTATTATAAAACAGGATATTATCTAAATGGTTGTGTAAAATTCAAATAGAAAACATTTAATTATTCAACGGTTAGTAACGTAGGACCAGTTGAATTGTACGTTAATTCAAGTTGCCAAACTTCACATTATTACAATCAGGAAAATTTAGTAGAAATAAAATTATATTTGTTTGAAAACAAAATATAAGAACAATGTCCAAGGAGATGCATGAAACTATAAAACTAAAATATGAAATAAGTTCTTCGAAATGTAAAATAAGGAATGAATGCGATTATGCTAATAAAACTTGTTTTAGGTAGTATTAACTAAGGTCACCATTCGTGTGATTACGATTATCTCTCACCAAACAACCTGAAAGTCTGATAGTCAAGTAACCACTCAGGACAAAAATCCAACGACTTATCTGGATTTTATCATAGCCTCCTCACAGTTCTGTACTCAACATCGCCCGCCATAGTATAAACAAATGCACCACATATCCGAAGCAATTCAATCGGAAAATGTTCACAACCTTGTCCCTCTGTGACGCATTGCGCCCAACTTCAGCATTGCTCGCTCATCAATCTTAAAGCATTTAAGGTGGAATATTTGCTAACTACACATGCTCTGTTTCTTCCAAAGCCTATTTTAATTGTCATTCAGTAATACAAAGCATAATTTTGAGTACTGTAATAGAACTTTGAAAACTAAGTGGTCACCTCACTTACGCTGCAGAATATTAAGTTGATAGTAACCAAATGACTTATTTGTATCCTTATTTAGATCTCATTAACAATTATTCTAGTAAAAAAGATCAGATTTATCAGGTGACTGAAATAACTAATGCGTCCAACAAATATTCCCTCTCTTATCAAGCAAATCCCAAAGGAAAGCAGTCATTAAGCAATATTCTGCATTCATTGATAGAAAACTGTTGCAGGAGATTATTTAAGTACGAGGTGAAAATCTTTTGAAGCTATTATTTTAAGATTATATGCATACTAACCTAGTACTATCCTATTCCCAATCATTTATTTGAACCGCAAATTGTTGCTATAGCATTTTTCACTCATAAACTAGAACTGATTGTTTGTGTATCCAGTACTCCGTTCCCCCCATTACTAATGGTGTTCTTCCCTGACAATACTGTTACTGTCTGCTGCGTGGTCTGGTCTTGTATGTATGAATGAATGTCTGAAATTTAATAACAATCGTGAACTGGTGATCATTGGTCTTGAGTGTTTTCTCTTCATTCCGGGATAGTTAGTATTGGGCTAACCACCAAGCACTAGTATTCCTCGTCCTTACTGCGTATTAGTTGCTTAAGGTCATCTATGGATACTAGCACGTTACAAAAAGACCTACGTTCCAAATATTTTGCCTTTACTCTGAAGGCATTTAAATGACTTTTTATCAATTACTTATGATTTAAAATCTCTGTAAGACAAAAAGTCATGAATAAAGTAACGCAGGAAAATGATATACCTTTGTGCGACAAACTAAATCACTGTTGGAAAATAAAAAAGTTGGCGAGTTCATTTTTCACACTTTCCACGAATTCTCAGTACTATATAATCAGGAATTATTATGCCATCATCTTTTTTTATTTGTTAATATTAAATTCATGAACCCGTTGACATATATTAATTAATATATTTGTGAAATTTAAAGATAAGTTGATGATGATGAAAGAGAAAACAGAGTTTCGAACATATCTGTACCCAAAATATGATTTTGGGAACTACCCATAACCCTTTTCCGCGTAGAGTTCATGCAAATGTCTATTCCCTTTGTTATAAGTTACATTTCATTTTTTTGTCAAGAAAGTATTCACATGATCAACGTAGACGTACGAAACCACAATAGTACGAAGAAAATCATAAAACACAAATGAAACTAAACCTATTATTCCTTTGTTTCATCAGTCAGTCAATCAGTCAGTCAGTCAGTCAGTTACAACGTAAGATCAGGCACATATATGCATCGGTCCAAGTTGTCATACCTCATTAGTACAACAAGATGGACACCGGATTCATAGAAGTAGTTAATTCAGTGGTGATAATATATAAAAGAAAGATTGCATATCAGAACATAGTACAGGAAGAAAGAATTAGTTCATAGAAAGAAAGATATGAAGCGATTTTAATCTCTTAGTTTAAGAGAAGATAGAGAGTGTATACACCGACGCCATTGTGATCGATTCTGAGCCATGTCAACCAGAGTCTCCAACCATTGGTTGCGACAGTCACGCCGATCTCAATTAATTAGTCTGCATCTACCAACATGGCTCAGACTAGAAGTTAGTGACTTCAATGACTGATGTCACGTTTTGGTTTGGCCACCCCCAACTTTCTTCCAACCACCCTTAACACTAGTCAGCATTACGCGTCGTGGTAATCGGTGTTCAGGCATAGGCAACACGTGCCCCAACCATCTCAGTCGATGAAGATTCACAATCTCATCAACAAGGATAAGTGGTGATTTAAATAACTAAATCATCCGTAATTTTCTCAGGTGTATGAAGACTAAGGTCTTCATAGACGCTTACTGATCACACACATGTTTTATTAGTGGTTAGTATATAAAAGAATAGCAAAACACAAAATTATATATCGATCATGATATCTTTCATTAAGAATGAAAATAATACTACAACTAAGAGTGGGATCGAACAGTTAAGCTGGTACTAAATCTAACCTTTAATTAACAAGCTAATAGTTGGTTTAAATCGGATTATATGTTTTAGTGACATTCATTTTACCAGCATCAATTTATGATTTACCAAAACCTAATTATTCCAAACAGTTTTGGTGTAATAATAATAATAATAATATAATTTAGTATATTTTGATTTTTCCTGTTACTTTTAGTAATATGGATCATTCTTCCTTATTTATCTTGATCTAGTGTTGTCCATATGCCGAATTCAAAGAAAAGTTCCAAAAAATTTATTTACTAGACAAAATATTTCATATGATGATATTGAAAATGATAAACATGACATTTCAAAGATCAACTGTAATCCGCCGATTGAAAATATCTCAAATAGGGCTGAACAATAAAAAAATGGGTAAAAAAAATGACTAACTACTCACTGAATTATATTTTTTTTAGGAAAATTTTAACGTCCAGATATTACTTAAAGATAACTATATACATATAAGGGGATATATATACATATATATAATTCTTTATGAATAGTATTTGTATATAAGTAAGTGGTCTTGGTTTAATTTATTTTTGGTGTCTTTTATTTTTCTTTATTATTTATCTATTGACCATATATTAAATTAATTTTGTTGAATTTATGTAATTCATAAATAGAACTTATTTAATGCTTATGACAAAATCAATGAAACATTTCTAGTAGAATTTTATTAGTGAAAATAATAATAACAATAATAATAATAATGGTAATAGTATTATTTCAAGTAATTAGTGTTTATTAATTTGCATATTGTTGTCATGTGATATGAAACTGATAGGTTCAGATGAGTAGTTTAGTTGCTAACACTAAATATGATGGTATATGAAATTGTAACCAAATGAAACTGATTAAAAATTCGTTAGGCATTAATTTATCTTAATAATGATAGTTGAAAAATTGATTTTGAGCATTCATTTATTAAATGTTATCAATGCTAAGTTTTGTTGTTGAAAGAATTATGTATTCAGAGCTTCGTTTTTCTTAAGGGATTTAAACTTACATCAGATACTGTGGTGATCTGAAATGATTGCATTTAGTTATATTCTTGCTTTTAGTACGATTCAATAAACAGTTTAATCAGTTGAAGTAAACAGTTTTATACCAATATATGTCTACTGATAACATTTTCTTATTGGTAACCTTCAAATGTTCAACTGCAAATACAAGTCGCTTCGGAGTTAAATTATAAGTGGATGGATTTAGAATGCGTTAAAAACCTTATCACTATATTGCCTTTGGTAAAAAATCACGTTGACTGATCTTCAAAATCAAACTATATATTCGGATTTTAATTACATTTTTAACAATGAAAGAAGCTGTGTATATGTTTCTCTGCTAAGTCTAATAAATAAGTATTCAAAATTAAATTCAATTACTCAGAAAGCGTTATCACAAATAATTATATTACATATGCTCAAACCTACTATATAAATTGTACACTGACAGCGAAACAACTTTTCAATCACTTCTCAAACTTGTGAGATATGTCACTTGGTGATGTGTTGGTTAAAAACAGAGTTGATAGTATATTAATTATTCATTTGGTATCGCGAGAATAGAAACAATCTAAGCATTAAAACTAAGCTATTACAAAACCATTGTACATGTGAATATGGGTGAATTAATAAACCTCAACTATTTACTCTCACTGAAGTCTTCATATGTAATATGTCCAGTAAATATCCAATTTTAGGTCACACACTTTATTCTACAAATATTAGGATATATCAGTCCTAGATCCCTTTAAACATACGCACGATATGTACAAATAGACTTGTATTTTCTGTATATCCATTGTTAAAAACATCCTTGGAAGTTCACATGTGTCAAGTTCGATTATGTACTGGTGATGATATACTCAAGTAGACTGGCGGTTTGAGTACGACTGTTATACTCAGTGGACCATCTCCTTTTGAGTTTATTATAAGATGTCAGCGAATGAAGGATAGTATTTGGACATAACTTTCCTTAACCCAAATAACTGAAATTGTTTCTACAGAGGATTACCCAAAAATTAATTTGATAGTAATCATCTAAACAGTTAATTGGCAAGCGTAACTCGTAGGAGAAGATATATGTTTGATATTATTATTAACATAAGAGGTCGATAGTCGTCCATGTTAAACAACTTTAGCACAGTCATCTGTGTGTTAAGTAGAACTCAATGCATATTTAACTTTAGTAAAGATTAGTATGACACAAGTTTTAAATCTCTACAATACATTTGTGTTTGAGCAAGTAGAGAAAATGAACAGCACGCAACGTCTTACGGTTAGTAAGAAATTGATAAATAGGTGTGCGTTTAGCTAAAACACGTTTTACACTGACAACCTTTTCGATCTCAGTTGATAAAGACGGCAAACAAAAGAAATGCAAATAAAAAAAGCATATTTTCTATAGATAATTTTGTTGTGTCAAGGAAAGTGAGAAAACTTAAAGTAAATTGGTAAGGCTCTTTTACATAAGCAAAGTTGTTTTAAAATGGAGGATGTAAACAACACGAAGCGACTTAACTATGATACGTTCACATATACTCAACCTCATACTACTCGTCACTTCAACTGTGGACATGATGACTGTCAGGAATGATTAATTATTAATTAATATGGTTTTAAAGGTCGGTTAATCCAAGACTAAACAGAATAGCTTAAAATATATTACAATACTTACTCTTATTGTTAAATGTTTAATTTGATGTTAGTTTTTGGGAAAGCTGATTTGAAAGTTATTCAGATTAAACATTTCCCCCTTTCAAATCCATTAATCATTCTCATGTACAAATGAAACAGACTATTCAGCCAAAACACGTTCCACATAAATTATGCAAGAAAAATGTCAAACTTACGTGTATTTATGTAAGAAGACTCAATCAATGAAAAGAAACGAATGATAATAATTAGGTATAACATATTTACGAAACAAATAGTAATTAGTCTAATATCAGTTATTATTTATTAGGATTAAATTACGTGATCACGTATAATCACTACATTATTTCTTTTTTAAATGATCAAATAGATTTGGAATATTATTAATCATAGTAATGTGATATACTTACATCTACACGTAAACTAGTTCGATATGTCAAGCCAAAATATTCAGTTTCTTGTAAATCTAATTGTTTACAAACTTTTTCAAATAAATGAATCCCATGAGCATTTTTCTGGAAAAAAACAACATGAAAATAAACATAAATTACAAGAATGATGAAATTTGATATGATTGTAAGTAAGTATTTACAATAATTGAGACCATGAGTTGATTGAAGCTAGACCACAATGGGAAACCTGGAAGCATTGGATGACCGTTTCGTCGTATTATGGTACTACTCAGCAGTGCGCATCCACAATCCCACCTCGCGAGATTCAAACCCAGGACCCATCAGTTTCGCGTGCGAGTGCTTAACCATTAGACCACTGAGCCGGCATCCAACTATGTTCATGTCTAACTTCAACCAATAAGTATTTACTAAAATGTGCTGTTTCTTAATATCGATGTTAGAGTAGTATATTACATAATACAAGTCGAAAATTGATTATGACAGAGGTTTGTGAAATTTGACCAGTGTTAAAATGGTTTCTTTTTAATTATGAATTCATAGAAGTTATAGAATAATTGACCGTGCTCAATACCAGTCACAGAAGTGGCGAGGACATAGATAAGTAATTAAAGTAGAAGAATATGATCCATATGGTTTTAACGTAGCGCTCCATTGAACTCGTGACAAACACAAAAAATATTTTTATTTAAAATTAGGTATCCATGGTTGGCAATTCAAATAGAATATATTAAACAAAGATTCTGTGATACATCATTTTCAAAAAAAAAGAAAACTCCCATCAATATATAACAAAAACTACAAACTTGACAATAAATGAACTAATTTCATATAAACACTTATTTACCAACCATAATTGTTTACTTTTAAAGTATAAAAGTATAAGGGGGGTTTAAATTTACGAATGGCCAAGGCTTCAATAAACTTACAAATTCGTCCTTGACAAATTACTCAAACTACTCATACTCATAGTCAAAATTGAATACTTCTATTGATCATTGAAACTATTTATTGATATAAAAATTGTGATGTAAACTACTAATAAATTTGCTTAGTATTATCATTATAAATAACTTTGATTTATTAGATAAGAACTAATCAATGTTCAATTTACAAACAACAGTCCTCAATCAATAAAGCTAAGGTTTGTATTATATTTAAAATAGTAATAATAATATATATATAACACGAGAATTTATGTCATATTACTATTATAAAGTACGCGTTGAAACGTGTTTATTTGTAAAACTGTATGCTACTACTTATTATAAAGTAATTTTATGTTGATTAGATAAATAAGTTCTTGGAAGTTTCTACACATTTTGAAGGTTAAAACTATCGGATAATAATCGATTAATTATAAAATTATTAATAATTACATCATATTAAAAAGATAAGTTGCGATCAATAATTATGTGAAAGATAATAATATCGATTCATAAGTATTAATACAGATATATATATTTCACAGGTTGAAATCATGAGCTAATTGAAGCTAGACCACCATGAAAAACCTGGAAGCACTGGACGGCCGTTCCGTCCTAGTATGGAATTCCTAGGCAGTGCGCATCCACGATCCCGCACCCCAAGGGATTCGAACTCAGGAGCTACTGGTTTCGCGCGCGAGCACTTAACCACTAGACCACTGAGCCGGTATCCAACGATGTTAATGTCCAACTTCAACCAATCCACGAAGTTGCGCCACCGTACACCATTGTCTTCAGTGAGCTGATATCTCACAACAGACCTGGTTGAACTCCACTGGTAACGGCTTTTCACTAGAACTCCAGGAGTATGTTCCAGGTTTTCCATGGTGGTCTAGCTTCAATTGACTCATGATATCTACCTGTGAAATTTCTAAAAATCTCCACAGAACCCATTCTGAAAATATATATATGACTAATTCAAATCATTCATTAAGCACAAATTTGTCTGTTCAACTTGGAAATACTCATTAATTTTATAAAAATCAATGATACTACCTGAATCGAATTCAAAAGAACAGAGTTTGAACCTAATTACTAGTTGATTAAAAGCTTACTGGTTTGGTTGGTATATTATTATTATTTCAAATATTAAGAAGTAGTTCTATGGAGAATAACATACATTTCTTGGTTTATTAATGAGATCGTAACATATGAGAAAAGAGATAAAATCATTTTGATACGAATACAATTAAGACTAATGTAAACACAGAGTAATATTAAACAAAACGATTAGTTTCAATGCATCCAACATATGTTGTTCACAGAAAATTATATTTGTAAAAGTTGAAAAAAAAACAATCTTGCACACATTACAAGAAATTGATTTTTCAGAGTTCTCTTTAATGGTATACAATAATTTAATAGATGCATAGATACACAGTATACTGTTTTGGCAGAAAAGAAAATAATAATTCCAGTTGTTAAAATATTTAAACCCATCAAAATACCAAAATCTTCACAAATGTTCTAAATAAAATGAATAAAGAACTACTTCAGAATTTGCAACCTCTTATAAATTGAAACTGAAAATCCAAATTACAAGATGGGAATATGATTTAGGAAAATACAAATAGATTAAAATTTACTAATAGGATGTAAAACCTTTACATATTTGGACAGAATCATTGATGAACACGGTGGATCTCATGCAGATGTGAAGGTGCTGATCGGAAAACCAAGAACAGCATATCTACAACTGAAGAACATATGGAACTCAAAACAACTGTCAGGATTTTCAATACAAATGTCAAAACAGTTCTACTGTATCGAACGGAAACCTCGAGAACTACCACAACCATCATCCACAAGATACAAGTGTTTCTTAACTGTTGCCTACGCAAAATACTTCGCATCCGTTGGCCAGACATTATTAGTAACAACCGACTGTGGGAGAGAACAAACCAGATCTCAGCAGAGGAAGAAATCAGGAAGATGCATTGGAAGTGGATAGGACACCCATTGAGGAAAGCACCGAACTGTGTCACAAGGCAAGCCCTCACATGGAATTTTGAAGGCCAAAGGAGGAGTGGAAGACCAAAGAACACATTACTCCGGGAAATGGAGATAAACATGAGGAAAATGAACAATAGTTGGATGGAACTAGAAGAGAACGCCTAGGACGTAGTGGGTTGGAGAATGCTGGTCGGTGGCCTATGTTTCATTGGGAGTAACAAGCGTTTGTAAGTAAGTATATAAATTGGGACAATAAATTAGTTAACATTATTGATTAGAGAGAAGACTAATTTTTGTTACCAGTGTGATGTACTTGACCTGATGTCGTATATATATATATATATATATAGCATTGATTAATACATTGAAATAACCCTCAATTTATAACTAATCAATAAATGAATTCTTTTAGCTCATTACAACTAAAAGATTTGGAATATTTCGTGACATACAGATAAATCAGACATGTTAACCTCCTGACTATAAAAATAGGAAATACATAATAACAAGAAAAATTTTTAATTACATATGCTTTCCTCTCTAAATCTTTTCTTTTTTTTCCGTTGTGCAATATGTTTTAAGTAAAAAGGGTGTGATTGAATAAGAAGAGAACTTTATATGTAATATAAGAAAATTGATTATATCAGTTTGACCTTTTTAAGTATGGATGAATAATAATGAGTATATTTGGCTAATGTATACATTACTGACCTATTTTTATTATTCATCTGAGTTATAAGTAGTTGGATATATATAACATACAGACAGACAGAGTTTATTACATAAATGCACAAACAATATACATTTGATCAGAAAAACTACAGTTATATAATTTAAAAGTGATCTATAATACAGATAGAAATCAATTGAGAATACATATAAAATCTGGATCTCATCGAACATCTATTTTGTTCTAGTTGGAGATAACTCATTTATACTCAGCCAAACAAAATGGAACCCAGCTCTAAATATCAGAGCGAAAAATATTTAATTTCAGACACTGAGTTGCTATTAATTGGTTCATATTATTAAGATGAATTAATTTCCAGAATAGCGTGCAGATGGTCTCTACATAGTTGACTTCTTACAAGCAACTGTTTCACTCTAGAACTCTTGGCAATTTATTTTGAACTTCAGTAATAATGACCATATGATTATTACTTATTTTATTAGTTTTATGGAGTTTTGGGTAATTCAATGATAATCTTTATAATGAACCAAAAGATTACACTAATACGATATTTATTAAAAAATTAAATCACTTTATTAAATATTAACAGTCCAGTAACAAATCGTGTATTAGTTATAACTAACGTGGTCGGTAGATAAAACAATGGGCACAAAATATTTCTGATTTCTACTTAAAAATGAATAATGTAAAAGAAACATCTTTCCTTCTGTAAGGCAAGTAACATTAACCACTTTAAGAGTCTAACAGAAACAAACCACGCGATTATGATTGGAACAATAATATATGCTATAATTTTGTCAGTGAGTCAAGGAGCATATATTGGGTAAGGACAAGATGAAATTATGATGAACTATTTTGCTTTTTAAGCCACAAAAACTCCGCCTGTAGCTATTATAGGATTACTCTCGATCCGGGAGAGCTGAGATTCTTTGGATATCAGGAGGTCAATGCCACTTCTAACAACCGGAGCAACAATTAATGTAGGTACATGGAATGTCCAGACAATGTGGGAGACCGGGAGGACCGGTAAAATAATTACGGAAATGAGGACATACAACTTGGTGGTGCTCAGAATAAGTGAAACCCACTGTAACCAAGCTGGACATAAACAAATAAGTTCGAGAGAGATGCTAGTCACGAAGAAGAAAGTGCTCTACATACTCAAGGAATTGCTCTGATGCTGTCCAACGTAGCATGTAAAACACTTGTGGGATAGGAATCTCATGAATCCACGATCATCAAAACATCCATCAAAGCAAAGGAGTAGGGGATCACAATATATGTTATCCAGTGCTATGCACCTACCAATGACAGCAACGAAGATCAGTTTTATGAGAGGCTACATTCGATCATAGTGAAGTGTCTAGGAAAGAACCTAACAATCCAGATAGAGGACCTAAACGACAAAATCGGAATAGACAACACTGGGTATGAAGATATCATGGGACGACATAGACTAACTGGGATACTGGAAC